AAGGGTTTTGTTGCTGTTTTGTCAGTCTGCAATATCTTATGTGATCTCCACAGAAAAGTTGCAGAGTTTCTTACAGGGCCTTGATTTGTGAATTATACAAAAAACCAGAATTATCTTTTGGAGGGTGAGCATCTTGTGGTACACTCAGAATTTGTTCCTCCAGATCCCACGGTTAACCAGAGTTTTTATCTGGAAGTTTCAAAAAGGTTGCCTCACAATTTGCGGAAGAAATGTCCTGAATTTTGCAAACAGTAACTGGTTCTTCCACTGTGGCAACGTACTTGCCGTATCATACCATACTGAGTGTTCAGCAATTTTTAACCAAAAGCAGCACAACCCCATGCCCCACCCTCCCTATTCACCCAATCTCACTCCGAATGACATTTTTTTTTTGGTTTGCTGATGTGGGAGAGGTGAAAGAAAAAAGAAGTGCTAAAAGGCATCAAAATCCACAAGTTCAAAAACTGTTTTGAGCCGTGGAAAAATCTGTAGGTGTACTGCATCAAATGAAGTGGACTTTGAAAGTGACTTAAGTTTAAACATGCAAGAATAAATACACAATTTTTTATATATAAGTTCTTTTGGGGGGTACCCCCTCGTATCTTCTGTCTAGATTGGTGCTGTCCGGTAGGACTTCCAGCCTTGATGAGAATGTTCTGCATCCGCCTTGTTCCTTCCGTTAGTCCCTAGCCCCAGAAAGCTGTCAAACACTTGACATGTAGCTTGTATGATTGGGAGACCAGACTTTGAGCTTCATATTATATTAATTCAAATTTCATGGGCCTCAGGAGGCTAGTGGGGCCCGTACTTGTTATCTCAAGTCTAGATCTTCATTTTCTCTCCTCTATGCAGCCACTTACTGTATGTGCTATAACCTACTGCCTGGTGTCTTTACAAAAGATGTGCCCTCCCTAGTCTGCTTCCTGCCTCCCTAGCTCTCACCTTGTGTTCTCATCCCAGCTTCTCTGAAATACCCCTAGGAGGTGCCTCCTCTTCCCTTGCCTCTAGGACACTGGAGTTCTGTTCTCTTCCAGCTGATTGTTTCCTGGGCTCAAGATCAGCCCCTTGTTTCCTTTATTTCTTGAGAGGCCCAGACTGCTACCCTGTACCCCTCATCTGTTTCTCTAAATGTCTGCTGGGTGCCCAGCACCTAGCTCCCTGTCGCAGAACCTGGCACATCCTGCCCGTGAACACATGTTAAAGGGTTCTCCGTGAGCATCTTTGTAAACTGTAAACGTACAGTTTGTATCTCTCTCTTACTCTAATACATTTTTTTTTTTTTGAGTTGGAGTCTCACTCAGACTGGAGTGCAGTGGCCGCTCCCAGCCACCGCAGCCTCGACCTGCTGGGCTCTGCTTTATAAAGTTTTAAGAAATTCACAGGCCCGCATTTAAGTATTTTTGAGGGCAGAAGATACATAGAAAGAGTCTGACCTTGTGGGTTTCACTCTATAGAAAAGTAGTAGCTTTTTTTTTTTTTTTTTTTTTAATGAGTAACTGTAATACTGTGAGAGCCCAGCAGCAGGATCCCAGACTGGGCTTCCGAAATGAGTTTTCATTTGAAACTCGGAGGTGAATGAGTGGCCGGGGTCGTCAGGCTGAAGTGAGAAAGAAAGGAATATCACAGTCCATTGCATTTGAATGGAATTAGCCTTCCCTCTGAGTTAACAGAGGAGAATTCATTTGAACCATGTAGAACAAGCAGATAATTTCAGACCCTGGAAGGGGATGGCCAGGTTGCTTTTGGCTTTGTTTCTAATTGGTCTTGTGGAAGTGGGCATATCCTCTTAGCCCTCTGGTGTGCTGGGAGTTGGAAGACGGGAGTTTTATTTGCCGATGTGTATTTGTGCGATGCTATGGGTGAATGATGAGCGCTGTACAGAAGAATATTATTTCGTTGTGAGTTTGTTGAGCTGCTGCTCCGCATGTTGCCATTAACACTTTTTTCCTCTATTTCAATGGGGATAAAAATTGTTTTTGGTCACATCTGTGTAGTGACGAAGAAGATAGGCTCTAAGTGTATCCACCACCCCCACCTATGCACATTGTACACCACAGGTGATTTTTTGCCCCTCTACTCTATTTTTTCCCACCCTCCCCCTTCTGACTCTCCCATGTTCATTATGCTAATCTCTCTGACTTTGCAAATCATTAGTTTGGGTCCCACGTATAAGTGAGAACACACAGTATTTGGTTTTCTCTTCCGGAGTCAGTTTGTTTAGGATGATGTTCTCCAGTTCCATCCAAGTTGCTGCAAAAGACATTATTTCTTTTTCTCTTTTGAATCAGAGTCTCAGTCACCCAGACTGGAGTGCAGTGGCCGCTCTTGGTCACCGCAGCCTCGACCTGCTGGGCTCTGGCGATCCTTCTGCCTCAGCCTTCCAAGGAGCTGGAACTACAGGCGCGCGCTACCACACCCGGCTGATTTTTGATGTATTGTAGAGATGAGGTCTCGCCAAGTTGCCCAGGCGGGTCTCGAACCCACGGGCTCAGGCAGTTCACTCACCACGGCCTCCCAAAGTGCGGAATTACAGGCTGAGCCACTGAGCCCGGCCTTATTTCATTCTTTTTGATAGCCGGAAAGTATTCTATAGTGTATGTATACCACATTTTCATTATCCATAGATTGATCAATGGGCATTTAGGTCGATTCATATCTTTGTGACTATGAATTGTGCCGCAACGAACCTATGGGTGTCTTTTTTATATAGTGACCTCTGTTTCTTTGGGCAGATACCTAGTAGTGGGATTGCCGGGTCCAATGGTAGATGTACTCTTAGTTCCTTGAGAAATCTCTGTTCCTTGAGAAAGGCTGTACTAATTTACATTTCTACCAACAGTGTATGATTGTTTCCTTTTCTCCACATCCGCGCCAGCATGTTGTTTTTTGGGGTTTTTTTTTTATGACCAATCTGACTGATGTGAGGTGGTATCTCATTGTGATTTTAACTTGCATTTCCCTGATGATAAGTGATTTTTTTATGATTGTTGGTCATTTGTATGTCTTCTTTTGAGAGATGTCTGTTCACACTGTTTGCCTACTTTTAGTGGAGTTTTTTGCTTTTTGCTTGCTGATTTTTTTTAGTTCTTTATAGATTCTGGATATTAGTCCTTTGTCAGATTGTATAGTTTGCGAATATCTTCTCGTATTCCATAGGTTGCCTGTTTGCTCTGTAGATTATTTATTTTGCTGTTCAGAAGCTTTTCAGTTTAATTAAGTCCCACTTATTTATTTTTGTTGACTGTTGATACTTTTTGATGTCCACTTTAGGACACAGGTGGACTCATCAAAGTGGTCTGTTGTTATTCTTGTTTAGAATCATAGTCAAGAGGGGTTGGTACATTTTTGATACGGGAAAAAAGATTAAGTTAAAAGGTTTTTGACTAATGAAAATTAAACTCATGCTACACTTATGCACCATTTTCACACTATTAAGTGTAGTGTGAAGTATTTTCCGTGAGTTCCCTTTACACTATAAGTATGGTTAGGGGAAAACCCCAGGATCTAGCTTTGATACAGTCTTTTGTTGTTCTTGTTAAAAAGAGAGGACTGCTTCTTTGAATTGTTGGGAAAATAATGTTGACTTACATTCTTAATAACTAAAGGAGAAAAAAATCTTTGAATTAAAAGAAAACCTGAACATTTCATTTATAACTTTAGGGAAGCATTTTAAATAGCCCTTAATTGGTAGTTCTGTGAAATTAATTTAGGATTATAGGAGAAAAATGTTAGAATGATAAAGTCTGTTTCTAAATATGAGTTATTAGCTGGGCTCGGTGGCTCAGCCTGTAATCCCGCGCCTTTGGGAGGCTGAGGTGAGTGGATTGCCTGAGCCCGCGGGTTCGAGACCCGCCTGGGCAGCGAGACCTCATCTCTACAATAAATCAAAAAATCAACCGGGCGTGGTAGCACGTACCTGTAATTCCGGCTACTCAGATGGCTGAGGCGGAAGGATCGCCGGAGCCCAGCAGGCCGAGGCTGTGGTGGCCAGGAGCGGCCACTGCCCTCCAGTCTGGGCGACCGAGTGAGACTCCAACTCAAAAAATAATAATAATAATAATAAATAAATAACTATGAGTTATTTAAAGTGTTTCCTTGTGGAAAAACTGATAGCATGCTGGGTAGAGGAATGTTCAGCCCTTGTGGTTGTCCTACCACAAAGCCTTTACTTAGCCTTCAGTGATAACGTGCAGATCCCTCCGCACATACTGGCATACAGTCAGCACAGACTGGGGGCTATTTTAGTGGTTGGGTAATTTGGTCTGTTTGTATTTTTTGGTAAAGTATAGAAATGCATTTTATCAATTTTGTGGTTCCAATATATGTTGACAGTTTAGCAGTTACTAAAATTAAAGTTCTGATGAGAGGTTGAAACTTACAGATATTCTAGTTTGATAGGAAAATTAAAAAATAAAGAATATGGAATGTCTTTGAGAATCATTTATTTTCTTCTTTTATTGGAAACTAAATGAGCAATATTGCCTGGAAACTCACATTACTTTTGATGATTATTCTTTATGAGAGTGGATGATTCAAAGGTAATAAATTACAGTCAACATTATGTTTTTCAATAGACCTTTTAAATGTACTATACAAGCTATTTCTGTCAACTCACAGATATCTCTGGGGCAGTTAAAGGAGAAATAGATGAGGTTTGAAATCCTGAATAATTTCATTTCACTTATAAAAAATCTTTTCTGACAAAATGTATATTGAAACTACTGACAAATAAAAAACGTAAAGGATTTGAGTTTTGTCTCATTCTTAATACTTGTTATTTATTCAGTGTGCTTAAGAATTTCTAAAGTGAGAAAGTGTAAAGTACATTGTTGTCTGCAGATAAACTAATCAACTGTACCTGAAAATTAAATTTCTTCAGTAATTTTTCTTCTTCCTGAGAAGAAGAGATTTGCTCAGACTTTAGAAGAGTGTAGTTTTGATTGCAGTATTTTGTAACTGACCTTATTTTGTGGGATTAATGAAGTGTTATCATTTTACAGGTCTCATCACAACTACATCAAGGAAACTAGACCGAGAACAGCAAGATGAACACATATTAGAAGTAAACATTTCTTTAATTATTTGTCATTATAAATATAATGGGAGAAAACAAGCTTGTTCCCACTAACCAGTATTCCTAGCTATACTTTGCTATATTGTTTTCTGGTCGTTAATAAAAAGGACAATAAAGAAGATGTTCTAAATGTAGCTGGTGTCCCCTTTATCCCCATTCCACCCCCAGAATGTACAACCACCACTATCCTAATTTCCAGTCTAAGCTTTGTGCTTCATATGTGCACCTACACAGAGAGCAGATAGAGCTATAAATGGTAACATTTGGCTTTCGTTTCATTCACTTAAGTGGTATTTTTCTGTGTGTCTTGTATATCTTCCTTTTCCTCTGTATTAAGTTTGTGATATACATTTATATTAGTGTTTATAGATCTAGTTCAACCTTTTTAACTACAATTAACTTGTTCCATTGTTTTTGCTCATAAACAATGTTATTATTTATGCATTTTAAACCATGAATTATTTAAAACTCATGCTTTTTAAACATTTCTAAAATAAATGTAGATTGAAGTCTGACATGCATTCTTCTAGAATGTTCTCTTCGAGTAAGATTTCTCATTCTCATAGTTAATTTTAAATGTCCTCTAGTGGTTTTTTTTTTTATCATCTTTTGGTCACCTTGTTTCTGACTGATAGTAGATCCGCTGCAGAGAGAGGACTAGGAGTCATCTGGAGAAGGAAGGTAGCAGGTAACCTGGGTGTCAGGCTGATGAGACCTCTGGGTGCCCTTGCCTGCACACCAGGAGGAGACTGGGAGAAAAGGCAGCCTGTAGAGAGGGAGAGCGGAACAGAGAAGCCCATTGCCTTTTTTGGACGTTGCTCTGCCACGTGTTGAAGGTTAATGTGGCTTATTAGGGCCAGATCCAGAAAAGGCTCTGTGCTTTTGTTCAGTCATGAGTTATCAGTGGCATTCTTCCATTCTAACAGTATGGATAATCAAGAAAATTCTAAAGTGTGATTTAAAAATTCTTTTTAAAAAATATTTTTATTCCTAATACTGCCTGCTTAATTTCATTTTATCCCTGATCAAAATTTCCTGACTTTGTCAGTAAAACATTTAGTTTTTTATAGCTATGTAGTATGTGTGTGTTTGTGTGTGCATGTGTGTGATTGTGTGCACTGTTGTGTGCATGAATTGTGCGTACCCTTTCTAGAAAAGGTGGTTTCACAGCCATGGTGCTTTCCCAGTCAGTCATTTCTTCATGTGTGACATCTGCGTTTTTGGTTCATAGGTTGAGTTCATTTTCTTTATGATAGAGCAGAGTTTTGAATTTTCATTCAGTCACCACAGGGGTTGACAGAAAGGATAATATGGTACTGATGAAAGGAAACAGATGGCAAAATATCAAGAAGAGCAGGTTATATTGCCGTCTTTCTCCAGACCCTGGTTATAATTGCAAGTTTCACATTATTCGTGTATCTCACTCCAGAAGCCACTTTTCTCAATGAATGTCAAAAGTTGGATGGGAGCAGGTATAAGATATGCAGCACTCTGGATGTCATATTGAGACTTTGACGGGAAAGAAGGTTCCGTACGGGTTTGCTTGCATATCTTGTATGTTTTCAGTGGTCCTTTCCTGCTGGTGGATTTGCGAGGCAGCGCTGACGATAATTTGGCTGTCTTAAGAGTTTTGCTCCATATCGCCGTAGAAAGTTGTGACTGGCTACTTGTTATTCACCCCAAACCCAGGGACAGTTTGGCGATGAAGACGAAGAAGCGTAGTGCTTGGTTGTGTTTCTCTTTCATTTTTTTTCTAAAGATGATATACACACTGAGCAAAAGGAAAGGTTTTGAGAGTTTAAAATTAAAATAGTAATTTTACAGTTAGAGTCGTACAAGAGGGAGGGACTGCTCTCGTGGTCAGGAAGGAGGGAGGGGGAACAGCTATTTCTTTTCCAGCCCCTCCCAGCTCCCTGAGTCCTCATCTATAAAGATGGGAGGAGTTGCCTTGTTTCCTCAAGGGCCGTTGTCAGAATGAGAGAAAGTGGTATGTGTCAAGCTGTGTGAACTCTAGAGGCTCGTACAAATGCTGATTATCATCCAGAAGAAAGTATTTACTTTTTATGTAGTGTATCTCAGCATTTGTTGATTTTTTGCCTTTTAAAAACAGGTTACTGTGACAGACAACGGTAGTCCCTCCAAATCAACCATTGCAAGAGTCATTGTGAAAATCCTCGATGAAAATGACAACAAACCTCAGTTCCTGCAAAAGTTCTACAAAATCCGACTCCCAGAGAGGGAAAAACCTGACCGAGAAAGATATGCCAAGCGGGAGCCTCTCTATCGTGTCATAGCCACAGACAAAGACACAGGTCCCAATGCAGAAATCTCCTACAGCATCGAAGAAGGGAATGAGCATGGCAGATTCTTCATTGAACCCAAAACTGGAGTGGTTTCGTCCAAGAAGTTGTCTGCAGCTGGAGAATATGATATTCTTTCAGTGAGTTAAGATCATAGTCTGCATTTCTTTGACTGTGAACCTAGTCGTCTTCTCATAACTTTTATTCTGTTCACTAAGTGGCTGAAATGTTGCTGCCCTAACAATTAGGCAATGCTTGATAATGTTTCAGAAGTGTGGGTTTGTTTTGCATTTTATTGCACTCCAGTTGCTTCTTATTTATGTTGAGTATGGTTGTGAGGTGGTTGTTCTTTTTGTCAAGCATTAAATACATGGTAAAGTCGGATGCAGTGCTCATACCTGTAATCCCAGCACTTTGGGAGGCTGAGGCAAGAGGATTGCCTGAGTCTGGAGGTTCAAGACCAGCCTGGGCAACTTGGCGAGACCTTGTCTCTACAATAAAAAAATTAGCTGGGTGTGGTGGTGCATGCCTATGTTTCCAGCTACTTGGAAGGCTAAAGCAGAAGGATCACCTGAGCCCAGCAGGTCAAGGCTGGAGTGGCCATGAGCATGCCACTGCACTCCAGCCTGGACGACAGACTAAGACTCCGACTTAAAAAAAATATATATATAGTATGCAAATGTTAAATATTTGAAATTAGCTCAAGTCTGAACCAGCCTGTGCTACATTTATGGGGTGTAACTTCTGATTTACTGTTTTTGTCCCCTCTGCCCATATTTTTAGATTAAGGCAGTTGATAATGGTCGCCCTCAAAAGTCATCAACCACTAGACTCCATGTTGAATGGATCTCTAAACCCAAACCATCCCTGGAACCAATTTCCTTTGAAGAATCGTTTTTTACCTTTACTGTGATGGAAAGCGACCCGGTTGCCCACATGATTGGAGTCATATCTGTTGAGCCTCTTGGCACACCTCTCTGGTTTGACATCATTGGTAAGTTTTCTTCAGTATTTTAATTGCCCTTAGTGGTTACACTGAGGAGAACCTGTTTACGGTTTTCTGAATTTTGTGTGTGTCTCAGGATTTTAAATTGGGAGTAAGACTTGTAGGTGGAGGATTTGCTTTAGACTAATATTTTGGTTGCAAAAATTTCAAAGTATACAGTATATATTAAACTTGTTTAAAATAGGTTCTCTATATTCAAGTCATTAAGAGACAAATGAAGTTTTTAAAATGTACATCAAAGAGCTATAGGCACACCTAAAAGTTTGGGTTCAAGAGCACAGCTTCTTAGTTTTAAATTCTTGATATAAAACCTATGGCACATTACTTTTAGTGAATACGTGTTCGGAACATTTAAAGTAGGTAGGCCTATGTGACCGTCACATGTCAGCATTTTACAGGGAATAAGCTGCCGTATTTTGATTTGTATAACTGCAGAATTACAGTACTAGCTATGGCTTTTTTAGTTTTAGCTACCTCATTTTCAGTAAGCAGAGTTCAGTAAATTAACTTACCCTTCAGTAAAACTTTCATGCTTAAGCCGATTATTCTTCTTTTTTGTCATTTCATTTAGTTCAGGCATAGAATGACCGTATTCTGCATACTCTTGAAAGTTTACATTAGGCTTTAGCATCTTAGATTTCTTTAGTTTCTTCACAATGTTTTAATTACAAGGATATGTAATATCAAAAGTGTGTGTTGTGATTCATCCCTGATTGGAACTTTGTACCCATTTTTCCTCTTCGGCCCCTTAGTTGCGTGACCCTTCAGCAGGTGCAACTGTGCTGGAACTTGACTGCAGGTACCATAGGGCACCAGTGCAGCCTTTACCTCTGGAACTCTCACGGATGGTTGGGCTGTTTCCCAGTTCTGGTCACTGTATGAAATGGATGCCTTCACCTCTGAAGCCATTAGAGTTTAGCCTTAAGAGAAGGGGGGAGAAAGAGATTATTTTCATAGTTAACTATACTCAGAATAGTTTGTTTGCTCTCTGTTAACTTTGATCGCATTCCAGGTTTACAGGCTGCGGCTGTGCAGCATCTGACTGCGCTCTTAAGCCTCACCATATTTGGAACTGGTTTGATTGACTATTCTCTGTGCTTGCTTTCCATGCTTACTCGCTTCTTTTTGGCTGTACCAGGAGACACACTTGCTAGAGAAGCTTTTTACATCTTTCAGATGACTTGTGACCTGAGCTGTACAGCAGAAGGTATCTGCTGAGATCACATAATTTGCCTCAGATTATGAGATCTAAAATACAAGCATTGGGGCTTTTTTAGAATGTTTTTATTTCCAGTGACTGTCTTTCATTGCTTTTTTTTTTTTCCATGGTGCACACATGACCACCCATTCCACTTGCAGATGTGTCAACTCTTAATGCATCTCTGCATCCTTAGACTTTGGGTTTCATTTAAGACTTTGGAAGTCTTTCTTTTCTTTTCTTTTTTTTTTTTTTTGGTTATTTTTAATAGTAGAACTTCATCATGATAATAAATCTTTATTTTCATGCCATTTCATTTTATTGGTATAAGTATCTTAAATTCAATAGATTTGAAAAGAGAGTTTATCTAGAATATAACTGAAGATGTATTTGGATAATATTAGTTGGACAGCTTTTGTTTCATTAAGCTTTGTGTGGGAAAAAATTCTTTTCAAATAGTATATAGTAGTCATGACTAATTGAAGTTAACTGCCCTTTTTTTTTTTTTTTTTTTTTTTAGTGTTAACATTTATTTTTAATACTTATTTTATTAGGACAGTATGCTCACAATATCAAATTTTTTCTTAATAATTAAGCTTTTAAATGGCCAATGATGTTTCATATAGCTAACGAGATATAAATTAAAGAAATATCCAGAATCCCTGAACAAGCAAATTGAAAGTAACTTACTGGCACTATTAGGGGTGTTTTTCTGTTTTCAGAGTTGCTTTCTTGCTTCCTCTCAATTAATTGCTTCCTTGGCAATTAGGGTTCAGCTTTGCCTTGATAGCTTGGTCTTTCTAATTGGCCACTCTCTCCTTGTCTTTCAAAATGCTTGCTCCTTGGAATCACTTTGATCAGTATATCAGAAGTTTTTCTCCACTGCCATTAAGTATTAGAAAGTTCCAAAATAAATGACAGATTTTCATCCTGTGACCCACTTTGACTTTTTTGTCCTAATTTAAAATAGGTGGCAACTACGACAGTCACTTTGATGTGGACAAGGGCACTGGAACCATCATCGTTGCCAAGCCTCTTGATGCAGAACAAAAGTCCAACTATAACCTCACAGTCGAGGCAACGGATGGAACCACTACCATCGTCACGCAGGTGAGTGAATTACTAATGCTGTGTTGGTTGAGGAGGACTGAGACAGCATTCTGATGTTGGGGTCCACAGATAATGTGAGCAGTTGATTCTGCCCTGTGAGGTTCTAAAATCAGAAATTACATGCTGATGCAATTTACACACATACTCACAAAGAGTTTTTACCTAGGGGAGGAAAATTAACTGTAAATCCCAATTTAGGTTTTACATATAATTAGCCAGTTTTGAAAATTTTGAGAGAATACTTCAAAAATGAATAAACAGAAAACCCCTAATTGTCATTGTGCCATCAGAATCATCTAATTTGATCATCTTTTTTGAACTATGTTCATATAAGGTGCTTCACTGTTGGTTGAATTGTCTGAGTCATTTTCAATCAAGCTGGTTAAAGTGATTAATCTTCTAAACCTCTGCTTAAGATTTTTTCCCCCCTCAACTACCTTAACTAGGGCTGTGTAAAATGCTGATATCATAGTTCTAATAATTCCTTTAATACTTTTATTTCTGTGTGATGGTTGAGATGGCCAGATTACTAGTATTTCAAACTTAAATATTAAAACCCTATAGCTTAACTTCTTTCTTATTACTTCTCTTTGATTCTCAGTGGGGGCTGTTTGAGCTGTACAAAAAGAACATTCTTGGATGAATAATCGTGAGGTTTCAGGAAGAGGCAGAGAATTATTCATTAATTTATTTAACAAGTATTTGTTGAACACTTTTTACATGCCAGATATTGTTTTGGAAACTGAATAGTAGAATGCAAAACAGGCAAAGATATTGCCCTCTTGGAGCCTGTAGTAGAATGGTAGAAGCTAATGGTTTGTGTATAATCTACTACGTGCTAAAAGAAAAAGGAAAAAGCTAAATGTTAGAGAATACAGTGCTTGTGGGTTCCAATTTTCTAGCTCTAGATTATGCTGCTTTAAATCTTAAGTGAGAGAGATCATCTGCTAAATCATTTAATTGCATTAGATGATAAAAATCAGTCTATATTTTCAATTAATAAATTAGTAGATAATTTAAAGCCAGTTGCAAAAATGTTTTATTCCTTTCTTCCAAGTGCTTGTGATTTTTAGTGTATGTAAAACTGATATACATATGCTGTACTACATGCATTTGGGGTCATTTTGAGATTGTCATGTAAAATTTCTAGTGTGGTATTAAAACTTCAGTTTTGTCAGGAGCTGCTCTCATAGAAACAAGCACAATCCATTGATTTTTCTCTCTAACGATAAGCTCTTGAAGTTAAATTTTAAGGCATGACAATGATAATAAAAACATCTAGAATTTTAATAAATCTAACAGGATAATCCTTAGAGAAGGATTTAAAGAGTGTCACCGTAGACCAGTTCACATAATCGACTAACTAGAAATGTAGTGAAAGGAACTAAATCAGCAGTGGCAACAGCACTCTGGGCCAAGTATCTCTTTACTGAAAACGATACGTCCACGAATAATTGTACTTTTAGTTAGGACAGTTAAAAAATTTGTATGAAATATGATGTACATTGACTAAAATTCTTAGAAAACCCAGGAAGTATATTCTAGTTCTTCCCACCCCAGGGACACACAATATCTTAAATTTCAAGACTTCATTTATACTTTTGTAACTTATTTTGAGTCATTTTTAGAGGGTCTTGGCAATATCCTAATGAATTGCTTGCAGGGAGAAAGATGGTCAGAATGTAGGAGAGTATAAAAGAATTGCTACAGATCCCAGGTCAGCTTGTCCAGGTATCAAACAAAGGGAGCTATCAGTCATTAGGGTTAGGTTTCCAGTCTGGGGCTTAGAACCCAAGGGACAAGCCTGGGAGGGAGCAGGGCAGCGGACACCCCCCAAGCTGGATTGATAAGGCTGGACCTGTGAGAGGTGGTTGGGCATGTAGGTAACACTAAAAAGTAAGAGCAGGTTCTGTGCATCTGGGTCAGGAGCAAAAGATGCGGACTTGGGAAGGCTGAGGGGAGCGTGGTGATCAGGCAGGAGTGGCCTGAGCAGCACCGGGCCTGGGGTTGCAGTCCCACCGCAGTGCTCTGCACAGACAGCCATTTTCCCAGTCTGCGTGTCTGTCCAGGACACTGACCAGTATTGATCCTCAAGTCATTTGCCTTTTTTCTGTCTCCGGTAACGTACCACATCCAGTTACCGTTTTTTGTATTTGAAATAGCTTTGCTCTCTTTTCTGTCACATTCTCTCGAGCATCCACATGGCTTGCTTGGGCCAGGCAGCTCTGCCTTCTGCTCCCGTCCATGGGCAAATAAGCCATCATCTGTGCCTCCGTGTTCTCATCTGGAAAATGGAGATAGTGATCCTTGATAATCATCCTCATAGAGTTCCCGTGAGGGTTACGAGAGGTGACAGACAGGGTATTTGCTCTTGCAGTGCTGAGAGCTCACCCGGGAAGCACTCCGAAAGGGTTCGCCTTTGCACCTCAACATGGGGCTCTTGTCCGCCATCTGACACTTGATTCACATTCCTATGCCAGTCTTTGTTTTTGCAGTTAACCTTACAGGTGAATTTCCTCTGATCAGAAAGTTCAGAGGGTACAGGCATATGTAGCTCTCCAGTCTAGGTTAAGGCTCAGCATGTATCTGACTGTACCTTCTTCCTGCTTCTTCCCTGTCTTATCTCTCAGTTCACGTCCTTCCCTCCAGCCACTGAAGGTGGGACGCTCAGTTCCACCTCTCATCTTCATGTCTTTGGCAGAGTTCTTCCCTGTCCACACATACCCAAAAACCTATTCCAGCAAAGTGTCATCTCTGAACTCTTAGCAACTTATTTGATAATGTGTGAAACATGGTTAGGCTTTGTACATGCAAGACGTTGCCTGCCAGTCCACAACTTTGAGAGGGCAGAGGCGTTTGCACACTTGTGCTACCTCCAGGGCTGTGAAGGCAGGTGCTGAGTGTGGGAGGACCCAGTAAATGTTTCAGGTAGATTGCCTTTGCAAAAGTGATTGTTTTTACTCTCAGTTCTTTTTGCTTGTTAATGATTAATTGAGCTTGGAACAAGATTAAACTTTTCTGCCCAGCACTTACCACATGGAAAAGGTAATTTATAATTTTATAGTGGAAATGAATATATTAAGATTTAATTTATAGGCATTACCTTTACAGCCACCCTTTCTGGGTCACCATCAGCATAAAGCATCTGGAGTTTTGAGTGTTTACATAGCTTTCATATGAAGCCTTTCTCTGATCAGGGGAATGCATTTAGTATTCATGTTAAATGTAATGTTGTAAGTCTATCGATGTTTTAGTCTTCAGTGAGAACACTGGTATAAGCTTTGTGGAGGGGCTTCTGCTCACACACCGGTGCTGTGTGGTTGACACCACTTGGTATTCCTGGGACTGTGGCCTCCTGTGCTACTGGGACTAGCCGATCTCTTGTTCCTTATGAACCAGCAAAGCTCAGCTTTCTTGTTTGTAAACTCTAAACCATGTTTTAGTATCAGTGGTGATTTCTATTTTGCCTTATCTGTATACGTCTTTTCATTCTGAAAACTAATCCTCTTACTGTCTAAGTAATTATTGTCTGTTTGTTTTAGGCTTTTAATTTAACTTAGGCCTGAGGGGTTTTTTTTTCCTTTTTACCATGTACTTTTTTCCCTCTAAAGATTTAATTTTATGTCAACATATTTATGAGAATTTATCTCTTCGATCGATTTAAATTGCTTTTAGGGAATAAGCATATTGACTGCTTATATATGTAGATTTTGTGATCACAAAAATGTAATGATTTTAAAACACATTTCTTAGGCTGGACTCGGTGGCTCAGCCTGTCATCCCAGCATTTTGGGAGGCCAAGGTGAGTGGATTGCCTGAGCCCGCAAGTTTGAGACCCACCCAGGCAACTTGGCGAGACCTGGTCTCTACAATAAATAAGAAATTAGTTGGGTGTGGTAGCATGCTCCTATAGTTCCAGCTACTTGGAAGGCTGAGGCGGAAGGATCGCCAGAGCCAGGCAGGTCAAGGCTGCAGTGGCCACGAACGTGCCACTGCCCTCCAGTCTGGCGACAGAGTGAGACTCCAACTCAAAAAAAAAAAAAAAAAAACACACATTTCTTATTTTCTTTCTTCTTATATATTAAAAAATGTTTTGTCGGGTATTTTGCGTGTCAAAGGTTAGAATGCGAAATTTAGGTAGTATAATCATCTGTCTCACTCATCTCAACGGGTTGGTAGTTACGGATTCCAGTGTGCCATAAGAAATGAGTCCTTTTTAAATCCTGGTAGATAAGTTCTCTGTTATTTTTGCACGAGTAATCTACAGATACCTCCTTCGTGGAGACATAAGAAAAACTCAGTCTGCATTTCCAAAAGAAACGTTAAGTGTGAAAAGCGCTGTACATGCTTTGTCTCCAAAGTTAGGTTCAAGAATTTAGAAGGGTCTTCACTATCTTGTTCATGTTTAGATAAGTAATGTACTTATGGGAGATGTTTAAGGCTCTTTTAGTTCTAGATTTTTGGGCTTCTGTTTATCATTTGTATTGCACCTCGCTAAGCTTCAGTGCCCGTCCTTGTTGCGTGACTCTTCAACTGTCAAGACCCGGTTGGGGCTCCTGCGATGCGAGTCATGCTGTCATTCATTGCAGGCGTGCATCAAAGTCATAGACACGAACGACCATCGTCCTCGGTTTTCTGCCTCCAAATACGATGCCATCATTCCAGAAGATACGGTGCCAGAAACGGAGATTTTGCAAGTCAGCGCCACGGATAAGGATGAGAAAAACAAACTAATCTATACGCTGCAGAGTAGCGCAGATCCGCTGAGCCTCAAGAAGTTTCGTCTCGACCCTGCAACCGGCTCTCTCTATACTTCTGAGAAGCTCGATCACGAAGCCACGCGCCAGCACGTCCTTACAGTCATGGTACAGCCTCTGCCTGCTCTTCCGCCACTACCTAGGCCTGAAAGGCTCCCTGTGCTTGAAAGTGACTCGTAACCAATCATTAGGAAAACACCAGGATCGACCATGTGCTGTTTCTTTCAGGTGCGGGATCAAGATGTCCCTGTGAAACGCGACTTTGCAAGGATTATGATCAATGTCGGCGACACGAATGACCATGCCCCGTGGTTCACCAGTTCCTCCTACGAAGGACGGGTTTATGAGTCAGCAGCCATTGGATCAGTTGCGCTGCAGGTTACAGCTCTGGACAAAGACAAAGGGGAAAACGCTGAAGTGCTGTACTCGATCGAATCAGGTACTTTGCAGGCTTTCAGTAGCGTTTCAGCTCCTTTTTCAAAGTTAGTTCTGGGTGTTGAAGCATTTCTGTGTATCTGAAAAGTTGCTTAAGTTGATCTCTAGTTACAGTTTCGTGAGTTGGGAGAAACAGGAGTTTTTTTGTTTTGTTTTGATACTTAATGTTTAATTAATAAAAGCAGAGCTAGAGTCCTAACTTCAGCTTGTGTAAACTTTTTGGGGATTCACAATATCAGCATAATTCAAGTCTCTGAGAAGTCCCATAGTAAAGAAAAAACTGTATTTGATCAGTTCGGTATTTCCTAGATTTATTTTAACCACACATTTTCCTTCATAACATTGGTAAACTTTGAAAAACACTTAAGAATATGCTGGCCTGGCAATTTAACATTTTACCTCTTTGTCAGAGTATTTTCTCTTGGTCAGGGCAGGAGATCCCATGAGAAAGCACTGACTCGCATAATGCGAACTGGTTCAAATCTCAGAGAGGGCGTCATGGCCCTCCTACCCCTTCCAGGTTTAGCTGGGGTATGTTTGGCCACTCACCTTCAACAGAAGAGCTTCACTCATGAAATTGAGCCGTTGGAACGGACCCCAGAGTTGGACCTGCTAGCTTTGGGCATGATGCAGCAGGGGTGGGGAAAGCCTCCTGAAACTGATGGCCCGGGCAGTTCTGTTCTGTTGCGTGTTATGAGGCCGTTCCCTCGCTCGCTTGTGCATTCCATGGACCAAAGCTTACTTTATGTGCGGTGCCAAGTGCATGTTGGGAGCTCGTGCTTGGTGGGTCGGGATTGTGGTAGGTCAGGATTGTGCTTTGTAGATAGGGATTGCCATTGGCTCCACAAATGTGTGCCATGTAGAAGAATCCCACTCCTGAATGAAATGAGGGTCTGCTTTAGAGCATGTGATTTGTAGTCAGAAATCACATTGCTTTGGGACTCGCCTTACTCACGCCAAATACTGTGAATAGTGATTAAATACTGAGAAGGCCTTTGACAATTTTCCTCAGTGCCATTGTTAGTACAAGGATATAGTCTCTTTCAGTTTTCTTTCTTTGTTTAGAGAATTAAAATCTTCCACTTATTTTGAAATTTCATAGCTGTACATATTTAGAAAATAACTGTCCTTGGCATTAGAATTGGTCGAGGTGCCGATCAGTTATAGAGCATGTAATCAAAATCTTAGTAAATGGAGAGTAATTAAAAGAATACTAACGTGTTTCAGGTAGTTACAGTATTTTTATTTCTTAACATATTTGAAATTTCGTTTGTTTCTCTTAAAACAACCAAACTGAATTCATTACTTACAAATAAGATCTCATATACTGCCTGTGATTGCCATGTTAGGATGTATTGTTGAGTTAATGCCTTGAATAAAGATGAAGTTTTTTTCCACTGGTTCAGAAATTTGCAGTTAGAAAAACAGTGCATTCCATTTGTGCATGCCTGAGCACTTCAATAAAGTAATTTTGTCATAGACAAACTGACCAGGGTTTATATAGGAGAAAATGTTAAACTTTTCCTTAGCTTTCACATAATTTTCAACAAATGGGTGGTTAAAATATGATTGTGGTGTCTGAGCAAAGGCATGTGCATTCTTTGAATGCCAGCAGTGACTGACAGGATTAGTAATTGGTTGCTCTAAGAATGAGGCTCTATCTCCTTCAAAGAATAGATAAGACCAACGGCCTGTTTCAGTGCTGAGTCAGGACTTTTCAGAAGAGATTTTTATCTTATAAGATATTATTTTATGGTAATATAAAAAGTATGCTAAACAATTACTTTATAGGAAACTACTACTAAAATGCGGTAGAATTGTGTGTGTGTGTGTGTATCTTCTGGAATCCTATGAACTATAAAACGTTCCTTTTTATACCTTTCACTTGACAGTTCATGTATAATACCCTACTTCTCATTTGTGTCCGATTACATTTAAACTTCAAAAAGACTAGTTGTAAATTCAGTCCATAACACTACATGTTTAATTAGCAGCAATTTCTTGAGCAAAAGGTTTGTTCTGATTAGGAGTCTTTAGGGAAGGGAATTCATTAGCAGATATTTTCAGTAACAATGGCGTTATGTGCTGGAGACGCATCGGTGCCATTCATAGTGGGCTATGTGGTGTTTTCTTCTATGTCTTTTTAAAAAGCAGATGATTAGAGCACTTCTTCAAAATTGTTGCAGCGCCTGAAATAGAAGACACTCAGTAATATGCTTATTGATTAGAATTGACTTTCTTTCCCAAGCTTAGGTTCAGTATAATTGCCTTGAAAGTTGGTAGTGGTGGCCAGCCCATGGGCCAGTGAGCAGACTCTTACAGAACTTCCACTGAGTATCCACAGGGACAGAAAAACTTCCCTGCACAGCTTGGTGTAATATAGTTCTAGCCTATTTTTCTAGATGATCGCCCTGTTCAAATTTACAATTGTTTAAGAAATTGCTAATATTTCTTCTCGACAGAGAAGAATTTACAGTTGTTGAGGAAATTGCTAATATTTTAGCTCAATTGAATGAATGAGCCCCCAGCCTAGCACAGACTTCTCCCTGATCTCATGAGTAGCAGTAGTTCACAGGTACCATGTTTTCTCTCCACATGATGCTGCTAACCTCGTGCAGAGCAGATGCTTTCTGCTTTCCGCCTGTGGATGTGGGATCCTTGCATTATGTCACCAGCTGGGTTCCTGTTGAACCTTCTTGGCAGCGACAGGCTCAGCGCTGTCTCTGCCAAAGTCAGGATACCCCAGAAAATAGGGACTATTTATGCAGTTCATGTGGCCAGTAAAGGGCCAGGTTGTGATGGGTGACAAAGAAAGCCTGGGCAACGTGGTGGAAGCTGCCATTCTGTGGAGGGAGGGCACAGGAGGCCTCCTGGCATGCTCAGGCGGGGGCCTCAGACAAAGTGCCAGTGGGTGGTAGGAGAGGAGGTCGTGGCCATGAGAAAAGCTGGGCTCGGGGGTGAGCATGTCCTCCTGCTTGAGTGAGAACACCCGCGTGGCTGGAGGGTGGCGAATTGTGTGGAAAGCACCTCCAGCCTATATCAGCGCAGGTGGAATCTGTTCATTCCTCTGTCTGAGGCCTTGCATGCTGAGGCTTTGCTGGCGGAACAAGAGTTCACTATACAAAAGACGTGAGCCATGCACATAGCAGGAGAAATATAACACATGGTAGGTCAGATGCTTTCTTAGTACAGGCACAGGAAAGCAGTTGCCACAGGCCACCAATCTCTTGGGTCCGGCCAGGTGATTGGTCACAACTTTGGAAGGTGGGGTTGACACCAAGTAGGATGAGGAAGGGATCTTGGCAGTTCTGATGAGTGCCTCCCAGGCAGTGAGAAAGGACGTGGAATCGCCGACTCCCAAGTACAGACAGGCCGGAAAGGAGTGTCTGGGGAGCCTGGCAGAGGCAGCAGGACCCTGTTCAGGGGCCAGGGTTCTGTTCAGAACGGCAGGGCCTGCACGAAGCCTGAGCCCGCCCTGTTGGAGGCGGACGCACAGCCTCAGGGCCTGGACTCTGAGCCAGGCAGGCCTAATGAAAGCCAGGCTGGGTCTGGCCTCCGAAAAATGGTCACGGCTTTATGGAAAATGTGTTAAAGGAAGGAAATGAAGACCGGGGGACGTGTTTACTATTGATGAGGTAGGGGAAAGTGGTCGGTTCATCCCCTATTTGCAGCGCACAGAGTAAGTAGTTCCTGTCTGTGAAATGCCACACTGAGTGCAGACCCCCAGAGCAAGGATTTGAGAAAGCACAGTGGTGAGCGGGCTGTGTCTTGGGGAATGGTTCGAGTGGGGAAAGTAAATTCTGTGCTACGATGAGGATAATGAATGGTAGGCGTTTATGCTATGAGACAGAAAAAGGGTGGGTGATTTGTGGATGATCAAACCTAAGGCTCTGCATACTACCTTGATACTATCCAGAAAGGCTGTAGAGAGCTACTGTTTTCTTCAGAAATATTTCAATCGATGGTACAAAACTGTGGAATATTGTGGAGTTGTGGTTGCAGCTGCACACACGCGCGCACACACACACACACACACACACACACGTGTGTGCGCATGATATAACCTGAAAAGATGCAAAGAAAAGCAAATGAAACATCTATCCTAGAGCAGTCTCTCAGGTTCAGCGCTGTTGACATTCTGGGCCAGATGGTTTTTTGTTATGGGGTGGATCGCTTAGCAGCAGCCCTGGCCTCTACCACTAGGTGCCAGGAGCACCCTCCATCTTCCCTCCAAGTGTGACAACCAAAAATGTCTGCAGACATTGCCAGATGTCTCCTTGGGAGCAAAATCATTTCTAGTTGAGAACCATTGACCTATATGATAAATTGACCTGAACAAAAATTAAGAAAGGGATGTTGTTGAAATCTTTAAAACTATGAAGTAGGGTGGGTTACACAAACTCATTCATCAATTTCCCGAATATTTAAGTAAGAGACAACTCACTTGAAACTTGATGTAAATTTTCTTACTGAATTTAAACCTTTCCTTTTATAATGAATAAGACACTTGAGAATTTGAAAGTTATGACTATTGAAAATATAAACGTGTTTCAGAAGGATTTCGAGGTACTCCTGTAAGATTATTAACTCAACTCCTTTATGGAAGGATAATAGTGTCTTCCATGACAAGTTCCCAGTTTAGCCAAGCGTGAGCTTTGGCTTTAGGTGCAGAGTGGTGCTTCTTACTTTTTATAATTTATGGACCTAATTCTGTAGCGTATAACTGGTTTTAAATGGATTAAAACAAAACAAATTAAAGGTTCCATTCTAATGTTGACATCCTCTGAACGTCTGTTTAATTTTAGAATATAATTCTTTTCTCATAAATTTTATTTTTTTATAGAGATGGGGGCTCTGGCTGTGTTGCCAGGCTGGTCTTGAACTCCTCGGCTCAAGCAGTACCCCCACCCCCCAGTTTGACCTCCCAAATGCTGGGATTTCAGTCATGTGCCCATGGCGCCCAGCCTAGAATATAATTTTTGACAATAATCTTTGTTTCTGTTTCTCCAACTACTACTTCTGTTGCCCCTTGTATTTTTTTTAACATGTGTTTTGTGTTTTTTTTTGTCTTCCAGGAAATATTGGAAACTCTTTTACAATTGATCCCATCTTGGGCTCTATAAAAACTGCCAGAGAATTAGATCGAAGTAACCAAGTGGAATATGATTTGATGATAAAGGCTACAGATAAAGGCCACCCACCAATGAGTGAAATAACGTCTGTGCATATCTTTGTCACAGTTGCTGACAATGCCTCTCCTAAGTTTACATCAAAAGAATATTCTGTTGAAATTAGTGAAGCTACCAACATTGGGAGCTTTGTGGGAATGGTGACAGCCCATGGTCAATCATCAGTGGTATATGAAATAAAAGATGGAAATATAGGTGATGCTTTTGATATTAACCCACATTCTGGAAGCATCATCACTCAGAAAGCCCTGGATTTTGAAACTTTGCCCATTTACACATTGACAATACAAGGAACTAACATGGCTGGTTTGTCCACTAACACAACTGTTCTGGTGCAGCTACAGGATGAGAATGACAACTTGCCAGTTTTCATGCAGGTGGAATACACAGGACTCATTAGTGAATCAGCTTCCATGAACAGCGTGGTCCTGACAGACAGGAATGTCCCACTCGTGATTCGAGCAACTGATGCTGATACAGAATCAAATGCTTTGCTTGTTTATCACATTGTTGACCCATCTGTACACAAGTATTTTGCTATTGATTCTAGCACTGGTGCTATTCATACAGTACTAAGTCTGGATTATGAGGAAACAAGTGTTTTTCACTTTACTGTACAGGTGCATGACATGGGAACCCCACGATTATTTGCTGAATATGCAGCTAATGTGACTATCCATGTAATTGATATTAATGACTGCCCTCCTGTGTTCTCCAAGTCATTCTTTGAAGCATCTCTTTTGTTGCCAACATACAGAGGAGTAAAAGTGCTCACGGTGAATGCTACAGATGCTGACTCAAGCATGTTTTCACAGTTAATATACTCCATCACTGAAGGCAACATCGGGGAGAAGTTTTTTATGGACTACAAGACTGGTACTATAACTGTGCAAAACACAACTCAGTTAAGGAGCCGCTACGAGTTAACCATTAGAGCTTCTGATGGCAGATTTGCCAGCTTTACCTCTGTGAAAATTAATGTGAGAGAAGGTAAAGAAAGTCAACTAAAGTTTACCCAAGATTTCTACTCTGCAGTAGTGAGAGAGAATTCCACCGAAGCCAAAACATTAGCTGTCATTACTGCTGTTGGGAATCCAATCAGTGAGCCTTTGTTTTTTCAGATCCTCAACCCAGACCGCAGATTTAAAATCAGCCGCACTTCAGGAGTCCTTTCAACCACTGGGGTACCCTTTGATCGCGAACAGCAGGAAGCATTCGATGTGGTTGTAGAAGTGACAGTCGAAGATAAGCCTTCAGCAGTGGCCCATGTTGTCGTGAAGGTCACCGTCGAAGACCAGAATGATAACGCCCCAGTGTTTGTCAACCTTCCCTACTATGCTGTTGTTAAAGTGGACACAGAGGTGGGCCATGTCATTCGCTATGTCACAGCCGTAGACAGGGACAGTGGCAGAAACGGGGAGGTGCATTACTACCTTAAGGAACATCATGAACATTTTCAAATTGGACCCTCCGGTGAAATTTTACTGAAAAAGCAGTTTGAACTCGACACCTTAAATAAAGAATACCTTGTTACAGTGGTTGCCAAAGACGGAGGAAACCCAGGCTTTTCAGCTGAAGTCATCGTTCCCATCACAGTTATGAATAAAGCCATGCCTGTGTTCGAAAAGCCTTTCTACAGTGCCGAGATTCCCGAGAACATCCAGATACACAGTCCCGTTGTCCACGTGCAGGCCAACAGTCCCGAAGGGTTGAAGGTGTTCTACAGCATCCCGGATGGAGATCCTTTTGGTCAGTTCACCATTAACTTCAACACTGGGGTGATAAATGTCGTGGCACCTCTGGACTTTGAGTCTCACCCAGCATATAAACTGAGCATACGAGCCACCGATTCTTTGACAGGTGCCCATGCTGAGGTGTTCGTGGACATAATCGTGGAAGACATCAACGACAACCCCCCTGTGTTTGTTCAGCAGTCTTACGCAGCAACCCTGTCTGAGGCATCCGTAATTGGAACATCTGTTGTTCAAGTGAGAGCAACAGATTGCGATTCAGAACCAAATAGAGGCATTTCATATCAGATGTTTGGGAATCACAGCAAGAGTCATGACCATTTCTACATAGATGGCAGCACTGGTCTCATTTCTTTAGTCAGAACCTTGGATTATGAGCAGTCCCAGCAGCACAAGATTTTCGTGAGGGCCGTTGATGGTGGCATGCCCCCACTGAGCAGTGACGTGACTGTCACAGTGGTTGTCACTGACCTCAATGATAATCCACCACTCTTTGACCAGCAGATTTATGAAGCCAGAATTAGTGAGCATGCCACTCCTGGGCACTTTGTGACTTGTGTCAAAGCTTATGATACAGACAGTTCAGACATAGGCAAGTTGGAATATTCCATTCTGTCTGGCAATGATCATAAAAATTTTGTCATTGACAGTGAAACAGGCATCATCACACTCTCAAACCTGCGCCGGCACACTTTAAAGCCGTTTTATAGCCTTAACGTTTCTGTTTCTGATGGAGTTTTTAGAAGTTCAGCTCAGGTTCATGTAACTGTAATTGGAGGCAATTTATATAGCCCTGCTTTTCTTCAGAATGAATATGAAGTAGAGCTAGCTGAAAACGCTCCCATACACACCCTGGTAATCCAGGTTAAAGCAATGGATGGGGATTCTGGTATTTATGGTCACATTACTTACCATATTGTAAATGACTTTGCCAAAGACAGATTTTACACAAATGAAAAAGGACAGATATTTACTTTGGAAAAACTTGATCGAGAAACCCCAGTGGAGAAAGTGATCTCTGTGCGTTTAATGGCTAAGGATGCTGGGGGAAAAGTTGCTTTCTGCACCGTTAATGTCATCCTTACAGATGACAATGATAACGCACCTCAATTTCGGGCAACCAGATATGAAGTGAACATCGGATCCAGTGCTGTCAAAGGCACTTCGGTCGTGAAAGTACTGGCAAGTGACGCTGATGAGGGATCCAATGCTGATGTCGCCTATGCCATCGAAGCAGATTCTGAAAGTGTTCAAGAGAATTTGGAAATTAACAAACTATCTGGCGTAATTACTACAAGGGAAAGCCTAGTTGGCTTAGAAAATGAGTTCTTCACCTTCTTTGTCAGAGCCGTGGATAATGGGTCTCCACCACGAGAATCCGTTGTTCCTGTCTATGTTAAAATACTTCCACCAGAAATGCAGCTTCCCAAATTTTCAGAACCTTTCTATACCTATACAGTTTCAGAAGACATGCCTATTGGAACAGAAATAGATCTCATCCGGGCAGAACACAGCGGGACTGTTCTTTACAGCCTAATCAAAGGGAATACTCCAGAAAGTAATAGGGATGAAGCCTTTGTGATTGATAGACAGAGTGGGAGACTGAAACTGGAGAAGAGCCTTGATCATGAGACAACTAAGTGGTACCAGTTTTCCATACTGGCCAGGTGCACCCAAGATGACTATGAGATGGTGGCTTCTGTAGATGTTAGCATCCAAGTGAAAGATGCAAATGATAACAGCCCGGTCTTGGAATCCAGTCCATATGAGGCATTTGTTGTTGAAAACCTGCCAGGGGGAGCTAGAGTCATTCAGATCAGGGCATCTGATCCAGACTCAGGAACCAACGGCCAAGTTATGTACAGCCTGGATCCGTCACAAAGTGTGGAAGTCACTGAATCTTTTGCCATAAACATGGAAACAGGCTGGATTACAACCCTAAAGGAACTTGACCATGAAAAGAGAGACAATTACCAGATTAAGGTGGTTGCATCTGATCATGGTGAAAAGGTTCAGCTCTCCTCCACAGCTGTGGTGGATGTTACTGTCACTGATGTCAACGATAGTCCACCACGATTCACGGCCGAGATCTATAAAGGGACAGTGAGTGAAGATGACCCTCCAGGGGGTGTAATCGCCATCTTGAGTACCACGGACGCTGATTCTGAGGAGATTAACAAACAGGTTGCATATTTCATAACAGGTGAGAAATTCAAATCAGATGGTTTGCTTTAAAACTCAGTGGTATTAGAAACAAATTCTGAGATACGTATTTTGTGGAAATTGGGAGTTTAAAGGGATGACTTAATATCTTAAATAAGTAGGAATGATATCTGTTAAGCTACATTTCAAGTTTGGTACCTGAGCAAAGCTAACAGTTGTTTCTTTAGACTGGTTTTGATTTTTGTGACTCATTCTGTTGAACTTTATACTTAGTATATAATTTATTATAATTAAAAAGAAATAACTATAGACTGAATTAATGTAGACTGAATTATTGTTTAGTAGTCTTTATATTTTATTTGACTTTATGATTTATACATTTTAATGCTGCTTGATTTTTTTTTAAATAAGAGAGCTATTATATACCAAATTTAATTATTTTTAAAATCCTTAATTATTCTGAATCATAGCATTATATATCTTTTGCAGTTTATTTTTTTCTGTTGCTTCTCTCCTTTCAACAAATGTGACTTTGTCTTCCTCCATTGACGTAACAGGAGGGGATGCTTTGGGACAGTTTGCTGTTGAAAATGTACAGAATGAATGGAAGGTCTATGTGAAGAAACCTCTGGACAGGGAGAAGAGGGACAATTATCTTCTGACGATCACAGCAACTGATGGAACCTTCTCATCAAAAGCTATAGTTGAAGTCAAAGTTCTTGATGCAAATGACAATAGTCCAGTGTGTGAAAAGGTAGGCTACTCTTTCTTCAGGTTTTTGTATTACGCACTTAAATTTATTTCTTAATCCTCTTAATGGGGCTATTATTCATTGCCATGGTGCAGTTTGAGTGTTTTCTGTTAAAATTGCTTACTGTTTAAGCAGAGGTGAGTGTTAAGTGGGTCAAGACCCAGAAAAGCTTCAGAACTATTTTGGGACTCCCAAATAGGTCAAAAATCTCATTCTAAAAAGCTGTAAATTAGCAACAGGATCACAGTTGTGTCTAACCCTAAAAGTGCTTTGTGAACTTTTCGTAAAGGAGTTCTCTTAATTTGGGGAATACAGTTACTTTAGGGAAAATAATTGGCCAGGTTTTCTTAATATAAAGCTGTGATTGGCTTTGAGAGATGATTTTGGGGACACTTGCCCTTCATATCCTGGAGAACCTAAGAAGTGAGCAGCACGGCTCCTGACCCCTGACCCCTGGCGCTCAGTCTTCAATGGGAGAATAGAACATAGACCTGGGGAAACCTGTTTCTCCCAAGCTAGGCTGAGGGCTGTGGCCTTGAGCCAGAGTGAGCCCTGGGGCTAGCCACAGTGGAGAGCGCCTAGAGGCAGGGCTGGCTTCACTCTAGGAGGTGGTGACTGGATCATCTGGGGGATGGGGGCGGGGGTGGGGTCGTGGAGAGTGCAGAGAAAATGCAGGTCGTCACTTAGTTCGCCAGAAGTGGGTCGTGCACACCTAGCGTCACAGAAAGAAAGTTTTGGGGGGAAAGGGTCACCAGAGTAAAGAGGGCTGTGACAGTCATGCCAGGACATTTAAACTCTGTTCCAGGGAAAATGGAAACTGCATGTCTTTTTATACTTGAAGGATAGAGATGGCACGAACCCAGAGTTCCTTAAGAAGTCTGGTTGAGAAGTATTGTCTCCGTTGTTGACATAAGGGAGAGTAAGCAAGGGGACTGTCTTAGAGGCACAGGCACGGAGGGCAGGAGAGGAGCAGAGCACCCGGGAACAGCAGGGCGCGGGCACGGGCACGGGCACCAACTCGGCTGGTTTTAGGGGAAGTTTGCCAAGTTCCATTTCCCGCTTGTTAAAGTGATGGGACCTTCCACTGAAGGTGTTTTTAGACACTTAGAGATGGTGAGATTGAGATGAGGGGGGAATGTGTAAACATGACAGTGTCTTTGGATAGCTGGTAATTGAATTCGTCTGAGAGGATCCTAACAAGAGGAAAAAATAAGAGTATTTCCAAAGGGAGAAGGAAGCAGAGCTGGAAGGAAGAAAGTGAGATCAGTGCAGTGCCATCAAGGGTGAAGGAAACAAAAGTTCTGAGGAGGCAGGGGGCAACAGAGGTAAGGTGGGACATGGTTGGGATGTGAGCAGCATTTGGATCCTGTGACTAATGGAGCGGTGCAGTCTCAGTGGGTGATATGGATGGATGCCTGACTGCAGATTCGAAAGTATGCAGTAGCATAGAGATAGATTTGGCCAGGGAAGAAGGTTGAGGTGGGGGAAGGAAGAAGAGTTAGGAATTAGGAGAAGGACAAAGGAGTCAGGAGATGCGTTATAGAAAATCCTTAAAATTTAAGGATACTTAAGCCAGGCTCGGTGGCTCAGCCTGTCATCCCGCGCCTTTGGGAGGCTGAGGTGAGTGGATTGCCTGAGCCCACGGGTTCGAGACCCGCCTGGGCGGCGAGACCTCATCTCTACAATAAATCAAAAAATCAGCCAGACATGGTAGTGCATGCCTGTAATTCTGGCTACTCGGAAGGCTGAGGCGGGAAGGATCGCTGGAGCCCAGCAGGTCGAGGCGGCGGTGGCCGGGAGTGGCCACTGCACTCCAGTCTGGGCGACAGAGTGAGACTCCAACTCAAAAAAAAAAAAATTTAAGGATACTTAAAATTCAGCCAAGAGAGGAGGTAGAACTTCTAAGGAGTGAAGAGTTCATTCCAGTCCTTATTTGTACTTTCTTGTGATCATATCTTTGAAGAGAAGTATATACAGGAGGTGCCCAAAAAATGAACACCCATTTTAAGAGAGGTGATCTATGTATTACTTTTTGAAGTCAAATTGAATTACAATAGCAATGTTTAGTATGATGTTCACTCAACTGTGCTTCTGTCATTTTCTTTGAATGCCCTGCCTGTCACACGGGTATTATTTGATTAATGCCATCTTTTGAGTGAACGTCATACTTAAAAGGTGTATATGCTGTCTATGTATAATTGAACAATAAATGCAAAATCATGATCTGTTTCTCTTACATTTTTATTTATGGCATGGTTTTCTAAATAATTGGAACTGGAAACAACTGTTCATTATGTTTGAGAGGGCAGAAGTGAAGAGACAGGAGATCAGTATCAGGCAGGACAAGCAGGAGGGTCTGAGCCTTCCTGCCTCCTCTCTGCTTGGTGATTTGGTTATGTGTTGTGAACACGTGCAAACAATAAAATCCCGTGTCTGGAAATAAGTAGCTATGATGTAACAGTATTTATTCTCTCTGATTCTTAGGTAAACATGAAGAGCTACTTACATTTTCTCATATAGATGTAAACTGAACATGAAAGCAACTCAATGACATATAACATTCAGTGTTCTGTAGGTTAAATGTCCATTCAGACTCTTTCAGGAATACAAAGTTGGTGACTGTTCATGACTTCTCCATGTTTTATATTTGTTTTATGAGAAAAATGGTATAGAAAGCTCTTTGGATTTTAGCTTTAGTTATTTCCTGTGTCTTCTGTGGCTAAAGATAAATGATTTCTCTTATTTTCTTGGCAGTCATGCTGTTAATGTTTTTATGCTAATGATATTGTTTAAATTCTTTGTAGATTTTGTATTCAGATACCATTCCTGAAGACGCCCTTCCTGGGAAATTGATCATGCAGATCTCTGCTACAGATGCAGACATCCGTTCCAATGCTGAAATTACTTACACATTATTTGGTTCAGGTGCAGAAAAATTCAAACTAAATCCAGACACAGGTAATGATGGAGTTTAGGACAAAATTATATATTCCAACAATTATGTATCTATTGCATTCAGTAATATATGATTGAACATATCATGTATGATTGAATATGAATCATATATGTGGATGATTTTAGATTACATACAAAACAAATTCTATTCAGTCCTTCAAATTTATTCTGATGCTATGAAATTAGCATCTTTTAGAGATCTAAATTGCAACTTAACTGTGTAAAGTTTGGGTGAGATAAACATTAACAGCAAAAATATCACCTACTTAAAAGATTTACATTTTGTAAGTTGTTTGTACCATGTTATTTGTTTTAAACTCAGAAGTTAAAGTTTATCTCATACTTTCTGATTTATCCATTTCATTTGACATCATGTTTTATTTTTCTTTTTTCAGCATGCTTTCTTGATTTTGTGATTATAAATTTATAATTCAGCATTTTCACGACTAAGTAATGTGATTCATAGTACTTTTAAAAACAGAATTTTTTTTTTTTTTGAGTTGGAGTCTTACTCTGTCACCCAGACTGGAGTGCAGTGGCCACTCCTGGCCACTGCAGCCTCGACCTGCTGGGCTCCGGCGATCCTTCCACCTCAGCCTTCCAAGTAGCTGGAATACAGGCACGCGCTACCACGCCCGGCTAATTTTTTATTTATTGTAGAGATGAGGGCTCGCCAAGTTGCCCAGGCGGGTCTCGAACCCGCGGGCTCAGGCAATCCACTCACCTCGGCCTCCCAAAGTGCTGGGATTACAGGGTGAGCCACTGAGCCCGGCTAGAATTGTTTTTTTCCTTGTAATTTGTATTTTGTTAAAATTGTGATCAAGTAACAGTTTTCTACTAAGCTTTTTAATTTTTACCATGAAGAACTAATTATGAACATACGAATCTAATTTTTGAGTCAATTTAAAAATTTTTCAATTTGGAAAATAAAGCAGCTGTTTTACTTTCGTAATATTACTTATAATGTTAAGAGGCCCTGTCCTCGGGTCTTTATTACTTAAGGGCCAACACCTGGCAGGTTTGGAACACCTGGAACTCACTCCGCTCATGCAGCTGTCATTGACAAAACTGTTCTCCAGAGGAAGGCTCAGATGTTATAACTATAAGAGAAAAGGGGAAGAAATAAGACGCACAGTTACATTCACTTCTTAAATTTTAAATGAATCTGTCTATTTCTGTCTGTCTGTTTTAGGTGAACTGAAAACATTAGCCCCCCTCGATCGTGAGGAACAGGCAGTTTATAATCTTCTCGTCAGGGCCACAGATGGAGGCGGAAGATTCTGCCAAGCCAATATTGTGCTCACTTTGGAAGATGTGAATGATAATGCCCCTGAATTCTCTGCTGATCCTTACACCATTACCGTATTTGAAAACACAGAGCCTGGAACACTGTTGACAAGAGTGCAGGCCACAGATGCAGATGCAGGTATCTTCCAGAAGATGCTAGGAACCTCTGTTTTAAAATGTATCCTAAATTCAGCCTGTTTAACTTACCTTCTCTCATGCATGTTATAACATAGTCTGTCCTTATTGTAGAGTGAAATCTTGAGAATAATTCATTTTTAATGAATATTTGAAGTCCCAAAATTGCATCCAGTGAACGTGCTGTAAAGTATCAGTGGTGTTAACTACATTTCTGATTAATGACTATCTTAACAGATACTGTCCCATTTAATTAATTCATTAAGTATTATTTTGTGAAGAAGCAAGTAGTGATATAAAGAGGTTTTAGCATCAATGGAACATAACAGAAGCAAATGCTATATTGTTATAGTTTTACAAATCTTTCAAAAATTTTTATGGAGAAAATTTGACTGTAGGGTATATAGTCATAGCATTTTGATAGCAGAGAATGACTTCTTCAGACACACTGCAAGTTGGATAGCCCTTGTTCAAAATGTTCGGACCTAGAAGTCTTTCAGAGTTTGGATGTTTTTCGATTTTGGAAGATTTGCATTATTTCCTTATACTTGCCAGATGAGCTTCTCATATCTAAAACTTTGAAATCCAAAATGCTCCCATAAGGTTTTTTTTTGATTGGTTGGTTGGGTGGGTGGCTGTTTTTTTTTTTTTAATTTTTTTTCTTTTTTGAGCATCATGTTGGTACTCAAGTTTTGGATTTTGGAACATCTCAAATTTCGGATTTTCAGATTAGGGATACTCAACCCGTAATAGTGAAAAATTAGAAGACTATCAAAAATGTTACTTTTCAAATAAGTCTTTGTCATTGATACTCAGTAATAAATGGATTTGTTTTATAAGGTCTGCTGAAGACTTTACCACAGACTCCTATGTAAAATAGTCTGAAAAGCCAGGTAGCTATGAAATTTATATTTGTTTAAACTCAGGAAATTATTAATCTGAAAAGCATACTTTTCACTACAGTCTTAAGAATTTTTAAATGATATATATATGTGCATTTTCCCTTTTTAAAAAATTGGCTGTGTATTTCATTTCTTGGTATGATTTTTCTGATGTGATATCGTGTCTTGACAGGATTGAATCGAAAGATTTCCTACTCACTGACTAACTCTGCTGATGGGCAGTTCTCCATTAATGAATTATCTGGAATTATTCAGTTAGAAAAGCCTTTAGATCGAGAACTCCAGGCAGTATATACCCTCACTTTGAGAGCTGCAGATCAAGGCTTGCCAAGGAGGCTGACAGCCACCAGCACCGTTGTTGTATCAGTTCTGGATATAAATGACAACCCTCCCGTGTTTGAATACCGTGAATATGGCGCCACGGTGTCTGAGGACATTCTTACTGGAACAGAAGTTCTTCAGGTGTATGCGGCAAGTCGGGATATTGAAGCAAATGCAGAAATCACCTACTCAATAATTAGTGGAAATGAACATGGAAAATTCAGCATAGATTCTAAAACAGGTAACCCACCACATATATGAGAGGATGCCTTTATTCCAAAAAAGGCTAGACTTGCTTGGGACTTCACCTCATACCAAGTGACGGGTCACGTATTGTCAGTAGGTGTTCTAAGAAAATAAAGCTCTTTTATTTTAATTGCCTAAAGCAGGCTTGAAAGTGGTTTAGAAGATTTCAGACTATAGTTCTGTGAAATAAGAGTCATTTCTAGTTTATCTACTATAAACTACAAGCACATTAGCCTAAAATAGAAAACTAAAGTATCACCTTCTAATAGCTGAGGTGTGACATAAAGTGTAGCAGATTAGTGATGATAAGAGCAGATGATAGTAAAGGATCCTGTGCGGTAAGACTCATGGAAAGTAGTTTTCCAGGTCAGACAGTAGGTTGGACTTCTTTGATCTTAGTTTCTATTTTGGGCATCTGATAAATATCAAAGTGACTTCTGTATCATGCTAGGTATATATAACAGTTGAAGCTCTTTGAGTCACACTTACTGAAAGACCACCAACAGGCCCAAAAATCACAGGAGGTATTGACGTGCTGCATAAGTACTTTTGTGGTCATGCTCACCTCTGGTCTAAAATAGCTGTAAAGTCTTAGAATGCTGTAAAAAGTTGCTTCATTCAAACTGTATTTAATCATATTTGACTGTTGGAAACAAAGATAGGTGTGCAGTTGTGCTATTTTAAAACATTTGAATACATATCATAAAATTTTTTTAGGACTCTTTTATCCCGTTTTTTTTTTTTTAGTAGGATGGATGGTAATGAAGTGAAAAAGAAAGATATTAAAGAAATTGTTAAGTCAAAAGGGTTTTTTAAAGATAGGATGTAAATAAAGTGTTATTGTAGGGATTGAATAAAAGGCTATACATCTCTATTAAGAAGTATGAGAAGGAAAAGGAAACTAAAAAGCACAGAATAGAATTTTTATGTTTTTATTTAAATTTGTTTATTAAACTGGAGGGAAGTCTGTAGTGAACTGTGGTTCTAAAGAGATAGGAGATACAATAATCATTTTTGTATCAGGGATGTAGTGAGTATTGACTAGGAAAGCAATTTAAACATTGTGAAGAATATCAGAAAAATAAGTAAAAGAAATGAGTAGGGATCCAGGGACAGGCAAATTCATAATTTTTAATTGTTGAGTTAAAAAATTGGAAAACATACGTAAATAGTAAGTAAGCAAATCATTGACGTGAACGCTGAATTTGTTTGAAAGTGTTATTTATTTCACCACAGTGGGAAGAAGTCATGGCATGTTGAAGTATGGGAAGTGATTTTGATTTTCTGTACAGGGGTCGTGTTTGTCATTGAGCATCTGGATTATGAAAGCGCTCATGAGTATTACCTCACCGTGGAGGCTGCTGACGGAGGCACACCCTCACTGAGCGACGTGGCAACGGTGAACGTTAATGTCACAGATGTCAATGACAATAGCCCAGTGTTCAGCCAAGACACCTATACGACTGTGATCAGTGAAGATGCTGTTCTTGAGCAGTCAGTCATTACAGTATGTGTTTTTTTCTCCCCACCGCTTTCTTCTGCACCTTTGCAAGAATTTTTGGTAAAACTGATCCGGTTTTTGTAGTATCCTATTGACAATATCTTGGAGATTTGGAAATGTCTTTCGTTAGATCAGAAAACATCAGTCAGTTACTGACCTTACAAGTAATTGCGTTAAAACAGCTAGCTATGACTATTAGAAAAAAAGCTTGATAGACTTATGCCCGCCCCCTTAGCTGCCTCCTAAACAGCAGCGTGGTTTTCTAGGTTATGGCTGATGACGCTGATGGACCTTCAAACAGCCACATCCACTATGCAATTATAGATGGCAACCAAGGAAGTCCATTTACCATCGACCCTGTGAAGGGAGAAGTCAAAGTGACCAAACTTCTAGACCGAGAAACAGTAAGTGAAAGAGTTTGACTTAAATTGTTTACAATCACTCATAAGTGAGCCCTGAACATTTGCCATAATATGGTAAGAAAGGGATTGGCAGGGGCAGGATACTGCTGGGTTGGGGAGCACGACATCCATAAGGGCACCTGATCTCAAACCAGGCAAAGTGGGGACCAAAGGGAGGCCCAAACTGTACCTGTACGATGACCACTTATATATCTAATCCTGAATTGTACCCCACATCTTTAAAATAAAAATAAAGAAGAAGAAGAAAATGAGAATAAAATGCAGAAGAGTAAAAAATACAATAAAGTTGTTTACAAATTACCAAATCCATATCTAGAAGTGCCTTGTGTCCATTTCTGCTGGGCACGATGGAAAGTACCAGAAGGGTAGAACCAGCCATCTCCTTGGGAACTGGCAGGCCAGATGTAAACACTTGAAAAGCAACGACACTATGAAGAGCTCAAAGATATGAGATATATGTCCCATACTAATATGAAGTTTGAATTTTAAAATTTTGTATTCAGGAAGAAATTTCTGTTGCTCCAATGTTTTGAGACACTTCATAAAGCTAGAAGCTGACTTTTAAATAATAGCAGAGATTAAGGTTGAGAGAAAGGTATTCCCTGTGAGGAGTTGCATGAATACAGGCATGGAGATAGAAGCCAAGAAATATATTGGGACTTTACCCAGCTATATTGGAATGACTTACAAAGAAGAAGAGAAAGGTATTTTAGGAACAGATTATGGGTCATATGGAGAACCAGAATCAGAGGTTCAGATCTGATACTTCAGGCCTTAGGCCATTGCTGAATATTTGTGAGAAGGGGGGACAGCCAGCCTTTGTGGCCATGTGTTCTGCATCAGGGAATTAACTGACCATGGTTCAAAAATATTCAGAAAAAAGATAGGAAAAAATAGCAATACAACAATAAAAAATAATACAGATAAAAATGCAGTATGATCATCATTTATATAGCATGTATATTGCTTTAAGTACTGTCAGTAATCTAGAGATTAAAGTATTCAGAAGTATATGCATAGGTTATATGCAAATATGACACCATTTTCTATCAGAGACTTGAGCATCCGCAGATTTTGGTGTCTGTGGGGAGTCCTGGAACTAGTCCTCCACAGATACTGAAACAGCTGCCTATTGCAGGAAGACATTTTGGAAGGCTAGTGTTCCAGTAGGTCTAAGTGTTCTTTCGAGTAATAGGAGACCAAGGGAGGTACGATGCTACTTACAATTGATCAGTTACGAGGCAGCAAGAGCCTGACTTGGGAGAGCAACAGTGGAGTTGATAAAGACAAGTGAAGAGTCTCAGCAAAGGAAACTAGAATCCACAACGCTTAGGTAAGGCCCTAAGTAGAAAGTAGGTCAGGTGTCAGGGGTGTCAGAGGTGACCTTGTCTTTTGCAGTCTTGTTTTGACTGGGTGGTACCATTAAAGAGAAGTAGGAAAGTTAGGAGTTATAAACTTAGAGGGGCTTGGAAGAGGACAATGAATGTGGTTTTGGACATTCAAGTAGAATTATTCAGGCAGTATTTGGAGATTTTAGTCATATTTAGAGACTCAGAAGCAGGAAATATAGATACAGTATGTGCCCTTGAGATGCTCCTAGAAGTGATGGGAGGTTGGGATAAATTTGAACAAATGAGGAGAGGCAAGCCGGGTTGAACACCCATCCACACCCATGCATCCATTCATCAATCCATCCATCATCCATCTACTCAGATGCACAGACAGAAAGGGAAGTAGAGCCTGAGCTGCTTCAGAGAGGTAGTGACTTGAAGACGCGAAGGAAGCCTTCGTTTGGGAAACTAGAAGGACATTGTGATGCTGCAAAATGAAGTGTGAGAAGAAGAATGGGTATACCTAAGAAGGTTAGAGAAACTTGGGAAGGTAGTGATGAGATATCTTATTAAGGTCTCAATTCTTTAATTTTTTTTTCTGACCTCTTAGTTTTGAGTAGGAACTTTCTAAGAGTTGAGGAAGCATGACTGCTATCCCTGGGATTGCTGTACTGCTGGGTAGAATAAAATTTAGTAATTTTTGACTGAAGACCCTAGATCCTTTAAAATACTTCTGTCTGTTGTGAGGCAGCCTGTGGTGTTTCCCAAGCTAATTTCCTCTTGCAGCTCTTTTTTGTTGGAGCATCTTGTAGGACTAATGTTCTATAGAACATACTCAGGGATTTAGCCAGCTTTCTGACTTCTTCCATCATTCATTCTAGAAGCGAGAACTTTATAGGGAACTGCCCTGGGAAAGAAGCTATGTCACTTGACTTAATTTCTTTTGTAAGAGGTCACAAAGAGATAATCTTGGGGGATTTAGACAGCTGAGTACAATCCAAGTACGAAATTGAGGGGGAGGGTGATCTGGAGTGTCCTGCGGTGGGAGACAGCTAATGCCTGTCTGCTTTCAGCTGAGAGTGAGTTTTGGGCCCTAAGAAAGCTGCCTGCTGTATAGTGGAAGCAACAGCATTTGAGATACGCCAGCGTTTTTTTTTTTTAATCAGTTGTATTACGTTTCTATCTTAATTTCTGTAAACAGAACTGCAAGTGTTTAAAGATAAAACACTTAACAAAATGCACACATTTTTGAGAGGTATCAGAGGATCTAATCATTGATAACCACAGCTGATGAGAAGTGTATGCTGTCTGCAGTGTGCTCACGTGTAGGTTGGAGTATCACCCTCATGCAGACAGGACACAGCAGATGATGGTGGTTCACTGGGACTTGCCCTTCCCAAGTGCCAGGAGAACACTTCTGATAGAAATCCTGCTCGCTGACCTTGTGAAAGCGAAAACACATTCTCTGTCTTCACAAAGATTTCAGGCTACACGCTCACCGTTCAGGCTTCTGATAGCGGCAGCCCCCCCAGAGTCAACACCACGAAGGTGAACATTGACGTGTCCGATGTCAACGACCACGCGCCCGTCTTCTCTCAGGGAAACTACAGCGTGATTATCCAGGTAAGCGTCGAAGGCCGCAGGGCCCAGGGAACCCTTTTGAAACCAGTGCTGTCATTGACCTCAGTGGCTTGTTTGAAACAGCGTTCTTTTCCAGAGGCTTCTGTCTAGAAGAATGGGAAAAGCAGGATTAGAGGAGTCCCTGTCAATACGAAAAGTTGGGCGTTTTTCAAGATGCAGCCAAGCTTCTCCCTCTCTCCTTCTTGTGCTTCGGCTCTCATCGCATTCTTGCTGTCCTGAGATTCGAAGGAGCTTAATCCCACCTCCTGCTGCAGCTGCACTTCTTGCCGGGCCAGCTTCCCAGCCCCCAGCCCCATCCTTCCTCTCCCTCTTCCGCTCCACCTTCTCCACCCCCCCACCTGCCTCCTCCCTTTTTTTCTGTCACCTCCTCACTTCTCCTCCGCCTCCTCCCCGTTCCTCCTCCCCGTTCCTCCTCCCCTGCCCTTCCCGGTTTTCTTCCCGGCCCCCTTTTCCTTCTCTTCCTTCCCCTCCCTCCTCCCACCATCCCCCGCCCCCCTCCACCTGTCTTCTCTGTCTTTCTTTCAGGCAGAGTGGCAGTGAGGTTCTGTTTCTTTATATTTTGTATGACTGAAACTCACATGTGTGTCTGACCCTATAGACTCGGTTTTGTTGAAAGGTTTTTGTTTTGTTTCTAACTGTGTGCAGGAAAACAAGCCAGTAGGTTTCAGTGTGCTGCAGCTGGTCATCACAGACGAGGACTCTTCCCACAATGGGCCACCCTTCTTCTTTTCTATTGTGAGTGGAAATGACGATGGCGCATTTGACATTAGCCAGCAAGGAGTCCTGCTGACTTCGGCCGCCATCCAGAAGAAAGCGAAAGACCGTTACATTCTGCATGTTAAGGTACTGAAGTCCTTCCTGTGATTCTATCGTAGCTTCCTAGAGAAGAGCAACTTGATGCGATTACCTTCTTCTGTTTGGACAGCTCACATCCATGGGAAAACAAAAATGTATCCAGTTGTGGGTTTTGTTTTTTTCCATCCCTCCCACTTTTGTCCCACTGCCTGTGGGGCTCATTTATTTATTTGGCTGCTTGGTCAGAAACACTGGTGGCCTGCAGTGTGAGTTAGAGCAGGCCTCTAGAGAGGCTCCGTGTCCTTTTCCTTGACAGACTTCTCATGTGGAAAAGTAGCTATCTGACAGTTGGCAGGTTTTTTTAGAGCTGGACAATATAAATGTCTTTTTAAAAGTCGCAAGCAGCAACTCAGACCACGGTGACCTTTCTTTTCCTCCAGGTGGCAGATAACGGGAAGCCTCCGCTGTCGTCTGGGACACACATCGACATTAGAGTGGTTGAGGAGAGCATCTATCCACCTGCAATTTTGCCCCTAGAAATCTTCATTACTGCTTTTGGAGAGGAGTACTCGGGTGGCGTCATTGGGAAGATTCATGCCACAGACCAAGATGTGTATGACACACTCACCTACAGTCTGGATCCCCAGATGGACAACCTGTTCTCTGTTTCCAGCACGGGGGGCAAGATAATAGCACACAAAAAGCTAGACATAGGGCAGTATCTTCTCAACGTCAGCGTGACCGATGGGAGGTTCACCACAGTGGCTGACATCACGGTGCACATCAGACAGGTCACACAGGAGATGCTGAACCACACCATTGCTGTCCGCTTTGCCAACCTCACCCCAGAGGAATTTGTGGGTGACTACTGGCGCAACTTTCAGCGAGCCTTACGGAATATCCTGGGCGTGAGGAGGAGTGACATACATGTAGTCAGTCTGCAGCCCTCTGAGCCTCATCCACATCTGGAGGTCTTACTTTTTGTAGAGAAGTCAGGTAGTACCCAGGTTTCAACGAAACAGCTTCTGCATAAGATCAATTCTTCTGTGGCTGATATTGAGGAAATCATCGGTGTTAGAATATTGGATGTGTTCCAGAAGCTCTGTGCAGGACTGGATTGCCCGCGGAAATTCTGTGATGAAAAGGTGTCTGTGGATGAAAATGTTATGTCAACACACAGCACAGCCAGGCTGAGTTTTGTGACTCCCCGCCACCGTCGAACAGCAGTGTGTCTCTGCAAAGGTAATATGCATGAGTGCCTGAAATAGGCATCACAGATTTTTCATGTATAGCCTTTGATGCCCACACTTTAAAGATTGTTTTATTGAAATTTCTGTTAATTATCTGCCCCTTCCCCTGCCTTTTGTTTAAATAAAGAGGGGAAATGCCCACCTGTCTACCATGGATGTGAAGACAGCCCGTGCCCCGAGGGATCTGAATGTGTCTCTGATCCCAGAGAGGAGAAGCACACCTGTGTCTGTCCCGGAGGCAGGTTTGGTCAGTGCCCAGGTGAGAGAGTTCAGTGATTGAGCATGCTTTTATTTTTTTTTTTAAATCACTTTTATTATTTCTCATAATTTTTATTTTTATTGGAGTAAAAAAATATTGCAAAGTATTTTTATTATAACAAATCAAATGTAGAGATGCACAAAGAATAACAGCAGTAACTTTTCCTTCTACTTTTATAACAATATACCCTCTGTTTATCAATTTTTTTCCTCCGTCTGTGTCCTCAATGTTTATATAAACATTGCAGCTAAATATATACATGTAGAGGTTTATTCTTCCTTTTTCTCTCTCATCTTTCTTTTCTAAGAAACTCACACAGTCCTCTACCTCTTGCTAAAAAATAAAAACTCCGCTTAATGGTATATTAAGGGCATCTTTCTAAACCAACGCATGTAAACTTAATATTTTAATAGCTGTGCAGTATTTTCTAGCATGGCTGTATCAGCATTTTTATTATGGATAAAAATTCAAGTTATTATGATACTGTTAAAAAATTATTTATACATGCATCTTTATCAATGCTTCCATTTCTATGTAGTAGGTTAACTAAGATTTGCTATGTGAAAGATTTACTACATTTTTTGATAGTTAAATATACCATAATGTTCATTTCCCTAAAATTTTAGTAATTCCTGTTTCTTCTAGTCGTGTATGAAGGTCTCACTCCCCATTCTGTTGCTAGTTTTGAAGATTTACAATTAAAAACAAATTCCCCCCATCAAATGGGCATGAAGTGATGCCTAATTCTTGTTTTAATTTGTATGTCTCCAGCTACTTATGAAAGCTGTTTTTTTATTTGTTCATTGCCTATTAGCATTTTCTCTCCCGTGACTTGCCTGTTCATATCGTTTGTTTGATTGTCTGAGTTATGCGTTTCTTAGTATCAATTTGTAGAGTTCTTTGTGTATTTTGAGTATTAACATTCTCTGTGTTATAGTTTCCTCTGCATATTATTATTGATCTTTTGATTTGTTAAATGTACCTTTGTCATTTTGAAATGTAATTTTTAGTCAATTCTGCATAATTTTGCATAACAATTTCCATCTCTGAAGATTGATATCATTTTCATCTTCTTTGGAGAGTAGGGATTGTTTTATATTTTGCTTGAGAAGTATTCTCAAACCACTATGAGACTGTAACTATCTGGAATTATCTTCTAGTAATTTTATACTGAACCTTTTTATATTTAGATCTTTTGTTATTTTTATTTGTGATGCAGTAGTCGTAATTTATTATTTTCCAGATGAAGAGCTGGTTATCATGTCTGATTGTTAAGGAAATAGACATTTTCCCATGGGACAGAGCTCAAAATGTTATAATCTTGTTTTTTTCTTCTTCGTTTTCTCAAAGTAGTTGTATTTCCTTGTTGAATTCATTATAATCTTAAATAAAAACTTAGATCAGTCTCGGGTCGGGGGAATCATACTTTTAAAAATATGCTTAACTTGGTTCTGATTTATTTTTTCTTATTTGTGATGCACAGGGAGTTCATCTATAACATTTACCGGAAACAGCTTTGTGAAGTACCGCCTAATGGAAAATGAAAATAAATTGGAGATGAAACTGACAATGAGAATCAGAACCTATTCTACCCATGCAGTTGTAATGTACGCTCGAGGAACTGACTATAGTATTTTGGAGGTTTGTATTTTTACAGTGTTGTACCTCAGGTTGTGGGAGGCTTTAAAAATGTAAATTCCCTTTTATGTTCAGACTGTTAATTTAAAAAATAATAAACTAAGTGAAATGGTTGCATTCTACATTTAAATAGTTCACTGATATCTATACATGTGTTTTAGATTTTGTGGGATGAAGAGCTCTTTTCTGCAGTGACATAGAGATTTATTTTTGCTTTTTACAAACATTTTAAAATACATGTGACAGTTAGCAGTCAAACTCTAGACGATATTAATAATGTTATAGAGAGTTTAGAGAGAGAGCCTACGTCTGCTTAAAGTGATATTTTATCTTGACTACCTTTTTTAGTGATTTAGTTTTGACTTTTAATATTACCCGATGCTGTGTGCGTGTATGTGTCCATTTAATTATTAGTCGCTTTCATGATGCTTTGTTGATGTGCACTGGCATTTGAACTTGATAACCCTACAGGATCTGTTTTTATTATTTGCACAGCAGACGGATATGCTCTTGTTTAAATGCAAGGCCTTACTCTTTCTACCTTTATTCATCAAACATACCTCTCCTATAGATTTTTAACCAGAGACTATAATTGAATGTTCCTTGAGAGTCATGTGTACAATAATTGTTATCGTAGATTCATAATGGAAGGCTCCAGTACAAGTTTGACTGTGGAAGTGGCCCTGGAATTGTCTCTGTTCAGAGCATTCAAGTCAATGATGGGCAGTGGCATGCTGTGTCTCTTGAAGTGAATGGAAACTATGCTCGATTGGTTCTAGACCAGGTCCACACTGCGTCAGGCACAGCCCCAGGGACCCTGAAAACCCTGAACCTGGATAACTATGTGTTTTTTGGTGGCCACATCCGTCAGCCAGGAACAAGGCATGGAAGAAGTGCCCAAGTTGGTAATGGTTTCAGGGGTTGTATGGAATCCATCTATCTGAATGGGCAGGAGCTCCCCTTAAATAGCAAGCCAAGAAGCTATGCACACATTGAAGAGTCGATGGATGTGTCTCCTGGGTGCCTGCTGACGGCTACAGAAGACTGCTCCAGCAACCCTTGCCAGAACGGAGGTGTCTGCCATCCGTCGCCTGCTGGAGGTAGGCTGCCTGGTGTCGTCATCTGCACGTGCACAAATGGAAAGGGAAGTTCCCCGCACGTTTACGTTTTCTCTTCTTTCATGTTTTAAATATGTTTCTCCTCAAATGGTATCATCAGGTATTGCAGTCGGTGTTGGAGATCAGTAGTAGATAGCGTAAAAGAGAAAAGCACGTTTAGAATCCCTCACCCATCTGGGTGGGAGTACAGTTTCTCTTGACTGCCATGCTTCTTCAGGCACAGTTGGCACTTGGGCAGGGTGTATCTCTGTATGTCTTATTCCGCACCATGACCACAGGCAGACCACAGCAGACACTCAGCTGTTCTTCCAACTCCGTAGCATCGACCCAGGGGAATTTAGAATTAGTGCCACTTAGTTGTTCTTTGTACCACTTTTTATGCAACGGCTCAGAGGGCCTGCTCCAGAGTCTTGCTAGCAGAAATAGATGGGAAGTCGCACTGTTTCCTTCCCGTCTGTTTCCTTCTGGCCTTGAGTCTTGCAGCCCTGGCAGAGTGAGGTGTTCTGTGGACAGTGAGGGAAATGGCTGTCGCCATGCCAACGAGAGCTTGGTGTAGTTAATAGAGCGGAAGTCAAAAATGACACTTTAAGTGGGATCTCAGAATGCTTGGAGTTTTGCCGTTTCTGTGGACAGTGCTTGTGCATGCTGTGTGCATAGATGAGGCCCGGTCGCGCCCATGTTGACACTCTGAGCACCTCAGTGGCGTGAGACAGCTGAGGTTTGTGTTGCGCTCATGTTCATCACATGTCCAGATTACCTCAGCAGGGAGGCTGTCCTCATTGAGCCTCTCGGGGCTGAACCTGAGAGAGGCATTTCCGTGAAATGTGCTGCCGTGGTCCCCAAGGCAGGAAGAGAGAAACACGGCAGTCCTGCCCTGGCTCCAAACCCTCTCCAAGAGCACCACGTTTCTTTCATGAACGAAAAACCTACCGTTAGGGCCAGCCTGAAAGGGAGCAGCTGCATCCCCACAAGGCAGATAGTTAGAAATGGTCTACCACACCACCTGTCAACGGTCATCACAAAAGAGTCAGCATGTTTTGTGCTCCTTTGGACCAATGCGATTATCTTTTTTCTTACATTTTTAAGCGATGACTTTTAGTTTTCAGAGTGCTTTTCACACTATTATCTCACTTAATCCTTAAATGTTGGTGAGTTGCAAATGAGATGTTCAGTCGTATTATCTATTTACTCAAGTCAGTAAACATTTTTCTGCTTTCATGCTTGACCCAATAATCTTATATAAATTATAATGAACTAAAGCTGAGGGAGTTCTCTCTTTAGTTCTTTGTGTTTGGGTTACACCAGCATTGGAAGGTTTTTGATGTAGACAACTTTTTACACCAAGAGAGTGAGCCTATTACTTGCTTTGACAGATCTAGAGAACTAAATCCTCACTTAACTTAAAGGTGAAAGCTATTAATATACTAAAACAGGTTTTTTGAGACATCGAATGACAGGACTTTTTTGCGCCTTTTTGCCAATTCAGGTTATTACTGCAAATGCAGTGCCTTATATATAGGGACATACTGTGAGGTGAGTGTCAACCCGTGTTCCTCCAACCCATGCCTCTACGGTGGCACATGCATCGTGGACAATGGAGACTTCGTTTGCCAGTGCAGAGGATTATATACTGGTCAGAGGTATGTATGTTTTTCTTAACTTTATGGTTAATCGTGGTATGGAATTATTTCTCAGCGTGGGGCTGTGTATGTAAAAGGTCTCTACATGCATTTTTTCGTGTTTTCTGTTTGGCTCTGTTTCTTTGCAATAGAATCAGGAGGTTCATGCCTATTTTTCTTACTCTTCAGGTGCCAGCTTAGTCCATACTGCAAAGATGAGCCCTGTAAAAACGGTGGGACGTGCTTTGACAGTTTGGATGGTGCCGTGTGTCAGTGTGATTCGGGCTTCAGGGGAGAAAGGTACGTGGTTTCTTTCAGGATGCATAGTCTCCCTTTCTGGGTGTCGTGTGGAGCCGCGGCTGCAGCAGCCTTTGTCGGGGCGGGCGATGCTGTCTGAGAGCCTGGTGATCCCCTGTCAGCTCCTTGCGTCATTCACGATCTGTTCGTTCTTTAGGGTAAAAGGAAATATTGGGCAGATGGATGTCATAAACCTGCCTCCGTACTTCAGAGATATTGCCTGTAAATAAAGACCGTGTGGGTTTTTTCAGGTGGCAAATATTTATGGAATGCTATGTGATACCTGTGGAACTGGGCCCATCAAGCTTGAGGGCCATGAGAGTGATATTTTTTAGAATATGCCATACCACTGATGTAGCATGCAGAGATCTTTTACAGTTCACTTTATTCTCTTTAGTGATTCTTGCTAAAATCCTGTGCGGTGGCCATTCCTTGCCAAGTGAAGAAAATGAGGCAAGGCGGGCGCCACCAGCCACGTGGCCTTAGTTCCTGCTCCCAAACCAAACCTTACCGGCGGAGTTTCCCAAACATAATTTAGGAAAGCTGCCTTTCCTAAGTCTCATCAGTGAGCGCTCTTAATGTATTTGGCGAAAGCATATTAAAAGTCAAAATTTTCATCCCAGATGAGTGCGAAGGATGCGAGCGAAGTCGATAAATCTCGTTAGAGGAGGAAACAGAGAATAGGCAGGTAGGGCCGTGCGAGTAGACAATAGGCCGAAAGGGCAAAGGGGCCTTACCGGTGAGCTGTTCTGGGAGGCTGAGGAGCCCAGGCGGGTTTTCAGCAGGGAATAGTGGTTTTAAACTGGAAACAGAACTTGCTGTCTTTTCACATGTTTTATGGGACGGTCATGTTCCCGAAGAGGAACATTTTCTTAGAAATTTCATCTAGCCTGCTGGAAGAGTTTACAGCTTAACATTTACAAAGTGCACATCCCAACTGTCTGAGTGATAGCTTATCAGAACTTGGAACACACTGATGTTGAGCCTCTGGGGTTGATTTAGTAGTCTGCTGAATCCTAGAAAAATGGCAGTTGCGTACTGGCGTGATGTATTAGTCTCCCAAATACACATCGAAAGTATGTAATCAAATAATTAATTACCCCACGAAAAGTTTTGGCTGTGGTGGTTGTTGATGCTGTGTTTTTTAGTTGTTTGCTGTCTGGTTTTGGTTTGGGCGTATCTTATTTAGGGGGGATGGTCTTTGGTCTCACATAGATATGGCGTGTCCTGACTGATGTTACAAAGGCCTCTCCTCATTCTTGGCAGGTGTCAGAGTGACATTGACGAATGTGCTGGAAACCCCTGCCGGAACGGGGCCCTCTGTGAGAACACACATGGCTCCTACCACTGCAACTGCAGCCACGAGTACAAGGGAAGACACTGTGAGGACGCCGCCCCCAATCAATACGTGTCCACCCCGTGGAATATCGGTTTGGCAGAAGGAATAGGGATTATTGTGTTCATAGCAGGGACCTTTCTACTGGTGGTTGTGTTTGTTCTCTGCCGCAAGATGATCAGTCGAAAGAAGAAACACCAGGCCGAACCTGAAGACAAACACTTGGGACCACCCACGGCTTTCTTGCAAAGACCATATTTTGATTCAAAGCTAAATAAGAACATTTACTCAGACATACCACCCCAGGTGCCTGTCCGTCCCATTTCTTACACTCCCAGCATTCCGAGTGACTCTCGAAACAACCTTGACCGAAATTCCTTTGAAGGGTCTGCTATCCCAGAGCACCCTGAATTCAGTACTTTCAACCCCGAGTCTGGGCACGGACACCGAAAAGCTGTGGCTGTCTGCAGCGTGGCCCCCAACCTGCCGCCCCCACCTCCCTCCAACTCCCCTTCAGACAGTGACTCCATCCAGAAGCCCAGCTGGGACTTTGACTACGACAGTAAGAGCAACTTTCTCGTCTTGCCAGATGTCGCTGCTGTCGACAGTGAGGTCTTGAGTTCTGCCAGAGCCACGGGGGGTTCCGGTCACAACGGGTTGGAGACGAATCTGCTCCAGCTCTGAGGACCCTTTGAGGATCTGAAACTTCTGTGGCTGTCTTGAATGCTGGCTGAGCTGAGCGAGGCTATGATGCTATTCTAATTAAGGAATTGAATCCAGTCATGTTTCAGATAGTATTCTGGAGCGATCATTTCATTTTTGTAATTGACATGAGATTTTAACTATACATTTTAGAGATTATGACAAAAAATAATTGGAATAATTTCATGCCAGGATTTTTAAAAATATGGACAGGAAGTAGAAGTATTGATATTAACAGCCTAACATATTTGATGCTTTACCAAAAAAAGCTATACATGCCATTTTAAAACACAGTGTTAATGATCTTTATGGTCTAATGATAGCCATAGGCACGTTTATGGAAAATTTCGGTTCTAGGAATCTCCTAGAGTATGTGTAGAATTTTTTTGTGGAGGGAGTTTGGTTTTATTTTGAAAGTGTTTCACTTTTTTTTTCCCAGTTGTTTATTAAGAAAGTCTCTGGGTGTCCTTTGGTAATACTTTCTGTGTGTCGGTGTGTCGGGCACAGAGGGACGAAGCCATCCTGGCCCTCAGGGCGCTTACCGTGTGCTGTGCCTCTTTCAGCTAAGGTGGTGGATCTGGATCCCTGCCTTTCCAAGCAGCCTCTGGAGGAGAAGCCCTCTCAGTCCCACAGTGCCCGGGAGAGCCTGTCTGAAGTGCAGTCCCTGAGCTCCTTTCAGTCGGAGTCGTGTGATGACAACGGTGAGTGGGCAGGATGCTGTGGCCTGGGCGCGGCATGCTCACCGCACACGTCTGTTAGGTTGTGTGTGGGTACGCCGGGGACCCTCAGTCTCAGAACGCGCCCATATTTTACTTGGACCACTCGGAGACAATAATTTATACATACTGCATGAATATCTGCTGGGTGCATATTTAAAGTATTCTTAAAGAATAGGATTTAACTGTAGAAACTTGTCAGTAATAGGGAAGAAAATATAATTCACTGAGGGATAATTTCCATCTGATTGACTAACCTTGTACTGACTTTTTTACAACAGTAAATGTTATGGAAATCTTGGGGGTGAGCAAAAAATCCTTTTAACAGCTTTCTTGACAACGCAATACACGTGCACTGTCACAGACCCTGCTTTAAGAAGAGATGTGATCATCTGAATGTTCGATTGTGGTAGCACCTTTGGTATTACAAGGTTCTATTTGTCTCTCCCCAACCCACTGCGGCCCCAGCTCCCCTTTGGATCAGAGCGTACTGACTGAGAGCACAGTTTAAGAGATTGCTAGTAAGTTTGATTCTATTTCTAATGAAGCAAGTTTCACAGTGGGATCTCTGCCATCAATTATGTTTATCTGGTTTTTTCTAGGGTAAATTGCATTGACAGCTGGTTTCACTGTGTTAACACGTGCCGGTAGAGAAAATTGCCCATGTTCAGTAACACAGGAAAGTGAGATTTTAATGGAAATGTTTGAATCCCAGAATTAGTAAGCTTAATGATAATTATTTTCTTGCATAAAAAGGTACTATGTTTATACATTTCAAATATTTCATTGGTAGAAGGAAGTAACCCGCTGATAATTGTTTGATCCATAGTAATGTAGTCCATAATACATGGCATATCTGTAGTCCTTAAGTCCATGTCATCTGTAACCCATTGCAGAGTACATTTCCACTCTGAAGATGGTCACAGTATGTTCCATTCCTTTCTGAGTTCAAGCATGTTAGGTATGATATCAAAGAATGCCCATGTTCACTAGTGATGAGGAGTATATGGGCGGAAACCAATGAGATAGGATTATTTCTTACTTGTTTTGATTCTAAAAAGTTCCTGTGGCCAGCTTATGTAATAACTTATACCTTATCCCCTAAATGCTCTTCATAAATACATTACAGAATTTTGTCTTTTTTTTCTTTTTTAGTTTTTTCTTGAAATAGCATTTTTCTTAGTACTGCTCCAAGTACTTTTAATAAATTGTCAAATCAGTTACGAAAATCGCCAGAAAATACATGAGAAAAAGAATATACACAGGACTGTTGATTATCATAGTTCATTGTCATTATCAATTTAATTGTATCGATCATAATTATTTCAATCAATTATTAATTGTTAGCAATTACCAACCATTATCGATCATACAATTAAAGTCTGTTGAGTTTGCATTTGCATTGTATTGCTAGTTTTCTAGGGTTATTATTACAGATTACCACTAACGTTGTGGCTTAAAACAGTTTAGCCTCTTATAGTTCTGTTTAGAAGTTGAACATAATTGTCTCACTGGGCTACAATCAGGATATCAGTAGGTTCATTCCTTTCCAGAAGCTCAAGGGAAGACTGCTTCCTTACTCCTATTTCCTAGTTTTCTAGAGTTTTGCTCTGGCTCATGGCTGCTTCTGTCTTTCGGAGAGAGTGGCATTGCATGGTTCTGACCATCTTCCATCTGCACAGCCCTCTTCAGGCACAGCTGGGAGAGATTCCCCCCTCTTATATCATCTTGTGATTACATTGAGTCCACCCAGATGATTCAGAAAAGTCCCATCTCAAAAAGTCCCTGATATAATTCCATCAGCAAAGTCCCTCTTGCCGTGTGTGGTTTTGCCACGGGCTTCTGGGGTAGCGTGTAGACATCTTTGAGGGCCATCCTTCTGTCTGCCACATGCATGCATGTTCATCTTGGCCGAGGTGCTTTAACACACACTGATGCACAGGGGAGAAGCAGCCAGACAGTGTGTTCTTCCAGTGGGTTGTTAGCTTCCCAGCTGTGGTCTACCTGCCCAGAGTCAGACTTGCGCAGTGGGAGCAGACAGAACAGGGACAAAACGGTTTTTATGTGTAGATTGCATAAGTATCTCTTCAGTTTCTTTTCTCTGAAGACAGTGTTTGTGTTCATTAAATTGAGTCAAAAGAGTGGCTTGCCAGGATTTTACTCTTTAAATGTAAGTTCTTTTGCCATGAGATGTTAAAATAAGAAGTGTTTTGACCTGACACAATATGTAATTATAATTGTGAAAAAAATGTATAGCTGAAAATTTTTTCCCAAGTTCCAGTAAAACATTACTTTAGTCCTTTGATTAATAATGACAACTACAGAGCTTGATTCGAAAAGTCTCTGAGACATATAACTAACAGAGTGCAGGGGCCATGGTTAATTATATTAAGTAGCTGATTGAAGCAGTCATGTCACATTTTTAAATTATAAGGTAGAAATTGCATAATATAAAGAAATTCTATTTCATGCACTGTTTTTTAACTACCTGAAAATTTTCCTAATTGAATCCTTTTGTGCCTTTTTACAAGCTTCCATTGTGACCGTAATACACCTTGTCAATGCTGTAGTTGACACGGTGAATAAAGAAGGTATAGTCATAAGTGCTTGTGCTTTGTGTTTGTGTTGTACAGTGACTGTATCACCAGAGTACTGTGCTTTTGCCTATCGCAATGTTATAAAAATAGTCTGTGGTTTTGAAGGGGTTGAGTACTTTTTATTTTTTTGCACGTGTATATGTTTATAATACAGGTGCATTGCAAAAATATTTCTATACATGTTATGTCTTTTGGTTACTTTTTACCATTCATAGTTATTTACAAGGACATCAAAAGTAACCTATAAGATCTCAAGAACTTATCTTTACATGGTACAATGTAAAGATGTTAATTTTTTGTAAGTGCAAAATATCCTCTTCATATGATCAGAAATAAGACTGTTACTCCAAAGCTTTTAAGTTACATATATAACAAAATCTTCACTTTTGATTTTTGCCCCGAGTTTGACAAAAGTATATTTTCACACTTGGTTTACTGAAAATCATTTAACATGAAGGTTTATCTGTTCAAAGTTATGAGAGAGGACATTGACCACCTCCCACAAATTATTCTTAATTAAATTAGCCCTTCACTCGTGTGCTTAAATTAGAATAATCACATAAGAAAGGCACAGGCTCCCAGTTTTCAAACTGTAATATAAATCAGATTACCTGGAAGGCTGGATAAAAGCCTAATTGCTGATTCACAGCACCAACACCTCTGACCCAGTCTGAGAACCATATTTTCAACAAGTTCCCAGTTAGTTCTAAAGCCACTGTTCTTGGGATGACACTTCGAGAACTACTTGCCATCGAGAAACACAAGCACCACCACAGGACCCAGGGATCCTTTTCTACAGGACATCATGTTGTCTAGACTTGAGTGGGCAAAGGATGGTCTCAGGCCAGATTTGCTAGGCAGGGGCAGGGGCCAGTGCTAATCGCCGGCGACTTCTGAGACTTTGCTCTTCTTTTCCTAAGAAGTACCATGTTTTTACGTGATGAGCTAGAAAGTTATCCGCATCTTGTCTAGTGAATTTTAGTTTCAACCTGTTGACCTCCCAACATTTTAAATACCGTTGGAGTTTAAGGAAGAGAATTTAAGCAGTTCCTTCCTTGCATTCTCCTTCATTGGAGAATATTTCTTGGCATATCCAAGTATAATTGAATTTAAAGTTGAAAACTCACTCAGATTTAAAGGATTGCCATGTGCCTAATAGTAACAAAAATTGTTGGTCCTTTTTCTAAAAGAAATGACTGTATTTTTCAGTAGACTTTCAAATACATTCTATAGCTATGTTTTTAAGAGTGCCTTAAGAGCATTGACTTTTTTTAGAAAATCACTAAAGAGACCATTTTTACCATGTTTTCTACTTTCACAACAGCTAGTGTTTAGCGAACATTATCTTTTTTAATCCTCATAGCAACTCGAAGGATTTTTACCCTCATTTTAAAAAGAGAAGCCAAGGTTTTAACCAGGGCTGAGTGTCACCGTCCCTGACTGGTGGTGGGATTTGCATCCACTTCCTGCTGGAGTTGCGTGCGTAGAGGAGAGATTGGCCCTGAAGGAGCAGGTGTGTTGACAGATTTGGGGAAATGAGTGTAGCTCATGGACTCTTTAGGACAGGCTAACAGTGTAGATATAAAGTCATACTCAAAGTGGATACGGTCTGGGAGCCTTTTAGCTTTTGCTTCTGTCCTTAAGTATCTAAATCCATTGGTGGATTCCTGTGAATTGAATGTGCTTTGGAAGTTGTGATGTGCTGTGAAGTATGTGTGCTTTATGTCGTGTTAGATGATTTGGATGATCACCTCTGTAACCTGATCAGTCTATATTTTACTAGTGCCTATGGGTTCTAATTTAATTATTTGTAAGAAAATTTTGTCTTCGAGTTTAGATTGTTGGAAGCAAGAAAGAGAATGTAAAATTGTATTTGCATCTTCCGGGAAGGCCTCTAGTCTGTCATCCCCACTTTCCTCCACATCCTGTTTTACTGATGCGACGTGAATTTCTCAGGCATTGGGATTTTTGCAGATAATGGCTTGAAGACATGGTGTGTGGCTGACTGGCCTTCATGAACAGTTGACATTGCACTGTGTACTTATCTTGATTGTCTTTTCAGCCGCCTATCTGTTTTAATCATAAGTATTTTCTTTTCTTTCTGCTGTGCCACCGAAAGAATCTTTGGCTGCTGCTGACCTCAGCAAATCAAGAGGTGACTTATGCATGCCAGTTGTTCATTGATACTCACTGAAAGAAGTTGGTGCAGATCTGATCCAGTGCTGGCTTGCTTCACGTGGATGCACGGTGTCTGCAGCCGTGACTAAGTCCCTGGCTGCCTGTGTTTGCGCCCTGCATCCTCCACATGCATCGCCTAACCGTCCCAGGTGTCGAGGATCTTAAAAATCTAAGGAGAAAAAAAAACGATTCCTAAATGGATGTTTTTTTTATTAATGACCCTTTTTATAGTCTAAAATGCTCCCTCGTGCTTTTCAAAGTATTAAAGATTGACTGTTGTAGTCCGTCAAAAATGTGTGTCGCCCCCCCCCCCCCCCCCCCCCCCCCC